GTCCATAGCAACTTTGTCAGTAAAACCAGGCACAGTCCACATAAAATTGTAGCATTATTCAAGTGTGATCAACTTTACCAATTCAATGAAGGTATTGTTTGTCTAATTCAAATAGTTATTTGGCCTGCCCCAACAAAGCCAACAAAAAAAACTGATAAAACTAAAATGCTAGTTACACCATTTCATTAGTTTTTTGATAAAACGATATTCTAATATACACTAATTACGTGGAAGAGAATTCGAACTTAGGTATAAACAAGCAAACATACTGTTGTGACCAACTAAGCAAGCAAAAACTGTTACCTGTTTGACCCAGTGCAACTGAAACTTAGACATGAAGACAATCTTCAAGAAGGCTATGTTCAACAAGTACCCATTTACAGTGTCATGCTTGGCGATTGGGTCCCTGAACTTCACACGCTCATCATACGCCGTCCGATCAATTCCCTGATCATCAAAAAGATGAACCAGATCCTCGAACAAAAACCCCACTAACCGTTCCACGTCAAACGTCGATTTTGGCGGGCTTTGGTCCACTAAGCTTATCCTAATAGCCCATTATGAGTTTTGGGCTAAGTGTTTGAGTTTCAAAGATTTAGGGCGTGGGCAGGGCAGTAGCTTGGACTTAGTGGTTATCAGCCGCCGGAAACTGACATACGCGGCGGGGATTAATGACCGGAAGATTTGGTCTGAAAGTTGTGTGCTGATCATTTTGTGGCTGAGCTGCTAAGGTTCTGGTGGTTGTGTTAGTTCTGGTCGAATGCAGGACTTTGGTTTTGGCATTTGAAATCTTAGCCAAAAATTGAGTGGTTGGTATTGAGTTTTGAAACGTGTCATCCAACTTACCATCCAGAATCCCGGATGGATGTGTTGGCCGTCTGATCTTTAGTTATAGGACCCATCTAAAACGAGTGGACAGTAGAATTCCATTAGTGTATAAACTATGTTAACGGGGTTTCCTTAATTGGAGATGACGTTGGTATGGTAGTAATACACTTAGTTAATCATGTAGTGTTATGTCAAAAATTAATACCAACATAGATAAGTTGTATGTCGGGGTGGCCACAAAGGTACAAGGTTTTGTTCATAATCTATGGTTATAATCTATATATTCCAAAGCATTTGAGCAAAAGAGGGAGGGCCAAGGCTGTTGAGAAGAATCCCACATTGACGAGAGGAGAGAGTTTGCTTGAACTTATAAGTAAATTGAGATACTTCTCGTATTACTAATTTTTACGGTAGAAACCTCAACTTTCGTCATGGTATCAGTGCTAGGTTGTCACAGCTTTGAAGCCTAATACCCGCACGGGCTCCACGTCACCCCGTTTGTGTTGTTCATATTTTATGCTTAAAAATTCCTCATACATGAGAGGGCGCGTTGAGAGTAAATTCCACATTGATGGGAGGAGAGATCTTGCCTGAACTTATAAGTAAACTGCACTACTTCTCATATTGTCAATTAATTTTATGGTCAAACCTCAACTTTCTTCAAAGACATCCTTTAATCTATGACCAGCTCCATCACTAAATGTTAAAATACATAACAGTGCATGTATGATATGAAATACAGTTACAGTGTTATTCTAGATGCTGCATATGTGGTATAAGTGCATGCATACAAAAATGTTCCTAGATTAAGCTGGACCACGTTAATGGTATATATAGTGAGCATATTTCACATGCATGCAACTCCACACTCTCACCACGCGACGAATTGTGGAGAAACAAGCCCAGCAAACTTCTTCACTTCTATATATGACGACATACAAAGCTCACTTATTCATATCGAATCCAAACTTCAAAACCAAACTCCAAATTTGCTCTTGTTCTTTCTTTGATTTCAAATACAGTCCAAACTAGAGCAAAAAAATGATATGTTTCACCTTTAAAAATTGATTATAAGTGCCTCGTGGTGCAAGAAGCATGGAAATGACAACGACGATGGTGACGACGGATACGATTATGCCCTGGCAGCATGCATGGAAGGTGTCGGCAATGACGATGATTTGGATTATGGCTATATGCTACAAACACATCCATGGAAGGTGACGATGACGACGATGATGATGGTGGCTATCATTATGCACCTGCTGCATTATAAATAACTAGTACTAGTTTTCTTTTTAATGTTTTAATGCAGGTTAATTAGCTTTGATGAATTGAGGAATTATAATGCGCTAGTAGGATTGCTCGATCCCTTCAAATTTTTTTGTTAAGGGTCGAACTATTTACGATGTACGTTCAATTTAAGCCAATTAGTTGTTGTCTCTGATGACATTAATATATGGTTAAGTGGGGCAATATTGTGTATGGTTTACTTATTATTAGGATGTACAGTACCACAATATATATGGAGAGGAAGATAATGGAATTCTTAGATACTAATTAGTGGTCATGGGAGTGCAAAGATTTGTCAGTCTGCCGAAAATACGGTTTGTGTCACATCCCAGCCTGAGATGTGGTGGGACTCTGGCCGTTAGCGAGTTCGTGGAAGAGCATTCTCAGGATGGGTGACCCACTGCGAAGTTCTCGTGTGAGTTCCAGAAACAAAATCGTGAGGGCGTGGTCGGGGCCCAGAGCGGACAATTTTGTGCTACTTCGGAGTCGAGCCCAAGATGTGATGGGGGCCTGGGCCAGGATGTGACAGTTTGATACGTAAAATTTCACAATACAATTGGTTTGAAATTTGAAAAAAAAAAAGTAAAAATTCAACCAATTGTATTATAACACTTGGTGTATCAAACTGTATTTCTAACACACTGAAAAATTTCTCATAAAAATAGGCACATTAAGAGTTTTATAAGCATGTGGTACTAATTAATAAGTTATTCCGGAAGGATTAAACCCCTTTAAAAAGAAAATTATGAAGAAGAAATAAAGTAGCCACTTACTAGCAAAAGGCAAGGGGAAAGCAAAAGGTGGAATATTGGATTGGGATGTGAGTGGAGTATATGATGACCTGAGAAATAATTTAACCATTAATTAAAAAGTTTAATCAAATCACGTTAATTTACAACATTGTGAAATGAGAAACAAAATAAAAAAGATTGAGGAAATTTAAATGTGAAAGTTGCTAGCATGCGTTTGTAAGATTATCTCTAATTCTTGAGTTAAAACCTAAAAATTTTAGCCCATAAAATTTAGGTTTTAACCCAGAAATAACTTTTCTACTCAACCCGTTTAGGTTAAATTTTTAACTCCAGATGATTGAAAAATGAATTTAGACTATTTTTTTTTAAATAATTTTTTGAAAAAAAAAATTATGTGGACTATCTGTTTGGGCCCAAAATAATATTATTGGGCCGAGCGTAGGTTTATATTCGGCCCAAAGTTTTCCAAATGTACTATGGGCTGCCTGGTGGTCCTAGGCCGTTCAGTGAAGGTGATAGAGTCCTATTGCAAAGAGTAATTTAGATGAGCGGATGGGTCGAAATCCTAGTACGGTAAGGGGGCTTATTGCAATATGGATTCTCGCCCGGGAGTGAATACGGTCTGAAAAGGGGGTGAGTTCAAAATCCTAATAGGAGTAGGATTGGTTGAGAGAAGGTTGGATCAGAATAAGAAGTCCTAATCCGAATATAGTTTCAATTCGATCTTAAGGAGGATTTGCTGCTATAAATAGAGAGCAGAGTGCATCGTTCAAGTTTATCTAATTCAACACACAACTGCCTTTCGCAAATCTCTCAAACATCTTGAGATTTTTTATTTTCTTTTTCCGCCAACACATCTTCAATTTGGATAAACAACACTGTGAAGGCAACTGGCAAACATCTTTAGTTTGGATAAACAACACTGTTGTCGTAGAATCAACCGACCGAGGAGCACCTTCAGTTTAGATAAACAGCACTGCGTCGAGGCCGACTAGTTATCTATCCAAGTCTTGGTCGAGAAGGGTTTTCGAATCCTTATTGACAGAGGTCATCTTATTAGCCTTCTCAACGAAGTAAGGTGTTATGAGTTACAACATTCGACACATCGAACGCCGAGTGATTTTATGATTGGATACTCACAAGTGAGTTTCAAAGTTCGACATTCTGATGACCGAACCACATTTACGACCAAGACATACATCTCCTTTGAGTACTTGTGTTTATATAGCCTGGTGTTGATTCGACGTGCTTATACGCTCACGAATATAATTACTGTGACCGAATCCGATGCCGACGATTCATGAACTTCGCAAAACTAGCAGCCTTGTCTTCAGGCTCGAGAATCCAAAGGCCGAGACTTGTTCCTTCCTCGGCCGCAATTGCAAGATCAAGAAGTCAGCAACGCGCTCAACACAACATCAACAAATTGTACTCCTCGGCCAGGCTCAGCCGACGAGTTGGCACGCCCGCATCAACCAAAGGACGTAGTTAGCTCATTAGTTACTCAGCCTGCGCGCCACGTAGGCTTTGTAATTTTTAGGGTCAACACTATCATAAATTAAGTTTATGAACATTTTAACTTAAAAATATTTAAATTTTGATAAACATTGAAAAAACACTAAACTGACACATGAAACACTATGGAAGAATATGAAACACATGATAGAGATGTATAAACACAAAATACATGAACAAACACATGGTTTTGGAAGATAGTAGAAAGAAAAATCGAAAGAATTGTAGGCGAAAAGTGAATTTTGTGAGGATGTTTGAACAAATACATAGGTATTTATAGAGTTTTTTTTGATGAATTTTGAGTTAAATAATATTTTAAATTATTTTAGCCGTTGAATTTAAATTTTAACCATTATATCCATTATATCATTCTTTTCATTGTTAAATTTGATCATATTCAATCATATCAGTTTAATTCACTACATTTATAAATACAAATTAAAAACAATACTTAAATTAAATATGAATTGTTGAATAACCAACCGCGTATTTGAATTCCCTTTCATTGATCAACAAAAGAGCCATTAGGCTCACTTTCCCATTGCCGACATGTTCTACACACACCCACGTGGGTGGGGCTGCACTTTGCAGCAATCCTAAATGTTGCAGCGCGTTCATGTTGGGCGCGAGTGATTCTGGGCAATTGTCGCCCACCTATCTGTCCTCCACTCGCACAAGTGGGCTCCTCCATTAACCTCAATTGAGACCAACCCAAAGGTTGGAATGAAATGAGGGGAGAATAAAAGGTAAATTCTGAGACTTAAAAGTATTTCACCAATCAAAACAAATTTTGTTGACTGAAGAAGCTTGACTTGGGTTTAGGTATTTCAGTATCATCGGTTCGGCACCACAAACACAACCGCTGCCATTTTTTCAGTCGTGATCTGAACCACTACAGTGCCATAACAATGGATACCGCCATGACAGCCCACGAAGCCTCCTCTTCATCCTCCTTCAGGTCAAAACTTTGGAATTACGACTTGTTCTTGAGCTTCAGAGGTGAAGACACGCGCAAGGGCTTCACAGGCCACCTCCACGCGGCATTAAAAGACAGGGATACCAGGCTTATATGGATGAGGACGATCTAAAAAGAGGGGAAGAAATAAAAGAGGAACTGTTCCAGGCAATCGAAGGGTCGAGAATCTCCATCATTGTCTTCTCAAAGAGGTATGCGGATTCGAGTTGGTGTCTTGACGAGCTGGTGAAGATCATGGAGTGCAGATCCAAACTGGGGCGACATGTTTTGCCAATATTCTATCATGTTGATCCTTCACATGTCAGGAAGCAGGACGGAGATTTGGCCGAAGCATTTCTGAAGCACGAAAAGGGCATCGGTGAAGAAACAGATGGCAAGAAACGTGAAGCTAAACAAGAAAGGGTAAAGCAGTGGAGAAAGGCTCTTACAGAAGCTGCAAATTTGTCTGGCCACCATCTTCATATCACTGATAATGGGTAATCATTCAGCTGCTTTTCAAGATTTGAAACATTTTAGTGAATGACGTAAATCTCTCATATAATTAACATGCTTAATTAACATTTCACATGAGCTAAACTTTAATTAGCATGCTTAATTAATACACCTTAATTTCTCATACAAAACCAAACCGTAATTGGAATTTAATTAATGAATGCTTTCGTTCTTTTATTCAAGTTGGTCACAAATCACATACTAGCTAGTAGCTAGTTAGTGTGTGTGTGTGTGTGTGTGAAGGAAAGAAGGAAAGAAAATTGTTTATGTACTGCTGAGCCTTCATTGATTCCCAATAATGTTTATGAATTCAATTTTCAGGTGCGAAGCAAATCTTATTAGAGAAATTGTTGACAATATTATTACAAAATGGCTTATGAGCACAAACAAACTACAAGTGGCCAAGCACCCGGTTGGTATCAATTCTCGTATTCAAGATATTGTCAATCATCTTTCAAGTGGCGAATCAAATGTTGTCATGGTTGGAATTTGGGGGATGGGTGGATTGGGTAAAACAACAGCTGCCAAAGCCATTTATAATCAAATTCATCATAAGTTCCAATTCAAAAGTTTCCTGCCCGATGTTAGCAACACTGCAAGTAAACATGGTCTAGTTTATTTGCAAAAAAAACTTATTTCTGACATCTTAAAAACGAAGTCTGAAATAAGCAGTGTTGATGAAGGTATCAGTCTGATAGAAGATCAATTTCGACATAGAAGGGTACTTGTCATCATGGACAACATAGATGAAGTGGGCCAATTGGATGCAATAGTTGGAAATCATGATTGGTTTGGTCCAGGAAGTAGAATTATCATAACAACAAGAGATGGACATTTACTAAAGCAAGTGGATAAGACATATCCGGCTCAGAAATTGAATGAACGAGAAGCTTTGGAGCTTTTTAGTTGGCATGCCTTTGGAAATAATTGGCCTAATGCAGAATATCTTGAACTCTCAAAAAAAGTTGTTTCTTACTGTGGAGGTTTGCCACTAGCCCTTGAAGTTTTAGGTTCTTTTTTGTTTAAAAGATCTATTGCAGAGTGGAAAAGTCAATTGAAGAAATTGAAAAGAACTCCTAAAGGAGAAATAATAAAACCACTAAGAATAAGCTTTGAAGGGCTAGATAATACAGAGAAGGCTTCATTCCTTGACATATCTTGTTTCTTTATAGGAGAGGACAAGGACTATGTCGCCAAAATATTAGATGGATGTGGATTTTATGCAACAGTAGGAATCAGTGTCCTTTGCGAACGATGTCTTGTAACTGTTGAAGGCAACCGTTTGAATATGCATGACTTGCTTCGAGAAATGGCCAGAGTAATCATTTCTGAAAAATCTCCTGATCGCCCAGGAAAATGGAGTAGGTTGTGGGATAATCGAGAGATCATCGATGTATTGACAAATAAATCTGTAAGTCCATTCCCAGTAAAATTTTGGATTAATGAATCGTACAAGAAAAGCATATATGTAATGTCTATTATACCTTAAAAAAAATTCATGTGTAATTGGGGTTGCACAAGGAAAGCTTAAATAGGCAACAATAGTACTTGCATATATTCGCCGTAGGTGATTTTGCGTAATGAATAAGAATACATGTAAACATATGTAAATGATCGGTTTCTTACACATGAATATGACCTTTTGTTAACAGGGAACTGAAGAAGTTGAAGGACTTGCTCTACCTTGGGATTATGGCAATACTTGTACAGAAGCATTTGCCAATATGAAGAAACTGAGATTGCTCCGGCTTGACTACGTTAAGCTTAATGGAGAATACAAACATCTTCCCAAAGGGTTAATATGGTTGTTCTGGGTAGGGTGCCCTTTAAAGTCCATACCAGATGACTTTTTTAATCAAGATAAACTAGTTGTTTTAGAGATGCAGTGGAGCAGACTGGTACAAGTTTGGGAGGGTTCCAAGGTACAATGAATTACACCTGATGATGTTCTGTTTCTATTTGTTTTTTTGGATTTCTTCGCTTTTTTTTATTTATAACATATTCATTTCGGATATTAATTTCAATTTTCTTTTGATTTTCTGCAACAGTCGCTACATAACTTGAAAACCCTTGATCTCAGCTATTCCATTGACCTAATTAAATCACCGGACTTTTCACAAGTCCCAAATCTTGAAGAGTTGATATTGGAAAGGTGTTTTAGTTTGTCCGAGATTCACCCCTCCATTGGTCATCTTAAAAGACTTTCTTTGGTGAACCTTACAGGATGTAGTGAGCTTATTTCTCTTCCAAGGGATTTCTATAAATTGAAATCTGTTGAGACTCTTCTTCTTAATGAATGCTCAAAATTCATAGAACTGCATGAGGATATAGGGGACATGATATCACTAAGAACACTTGAAGCAGAGGATACAACCATAAGAGAAGTACCACCTTCCATAGTAAGATTGAAGAATCTCACTCGTTTATCCCTTTGCGACATCAGTTTACAGCTCGAAGGAGAATACAAATGTCTGCGTTGGTATGAATGGCCTTTAAAGTCCATACCAGATGACTCTTTTAATCAAGATAAACTAGTTGTTTTAGTGATGCATCATAGCAAACTGGTACAAGTTTGGGAGGGTTCCAAGGTACAATGAATTACACCTGATGATGTTCTGTTTCTATTTGTTTTTTGGATTTCTTCTCTTTTATTTTTATTTTTTATAACATCTTCATTTCGGATATTAATTTTAATTTTCTTTTGATTTTCTGCAACAGTCGCTACATAACTTGAAAACCCTTGATCTCAGCTATTCCATTGACCTAATTAAATCACCGGACTTTTCACAAGTCCCAAATCTTGAAGAGTTGATATTGGAAGGGTGTGCGGGTTTGTCCGAGATTCACCACTCTATTGGTCATCTTAAGAGACTTTCTTTGGTGAACCTTACAAGTTGTTACAGGCTTATTTCTCTTCCAAGGGATTTCTATAAATTGAAATCTGTTGAGACTCTTCTTCTTAATGAATGCTCAACATTCATAGAACTGCATGAGGATATAGGGGACATGATATCACTGAGAACACTTGAAGCAGAGTATACAACCATAAGAGAAGTACCACCTTCCATAGTAAGATTGAAGAATCTCACTCGTTTATCCCTATCAGGTGTGAAAAGTATTCATCTGCCACATTCGTTACACGGCTTAAACTCTTTAAGGGAATTAAATCTCTCATGGTGCAAATTAGTTGATGATGCAATCCCTAAGGATCTTGGGAGTCTAATTTCTTTACAAGATTTGAATCTTCAAGGGAATGATTGTCATACCCTGCCCAGTCTCAGTGGTCTTTCTAAACTTGAAACTCTGTGGTTAGATAAATGCTTTAACCTTCGTATAATCCCTGATATACCACCAAACGTGAAAGTTCAGCAAGAGTAATATCCTGAGGCTGATGTGTGCAATATTATGTAGGCAGAGAAGATTGGGAGGAGCTACTATATGAAGACTATCTTTTCAGCTTACTTTGGAGTTTGAGTTTCTTTGGGGCTCTTGAAGCAGATTCTACAGCCATAAGACAAGTACCACCTTCCATAGTAGGATTGAAGAATCTCACTTTTATCTCTGAGTACTGTGCCTAGTCATTTCCCAAATTACTTGATGATGCAATCCCTAAGGATGTTGGAGGGAATGATGTTCATATCCTACCCAGCCTCAGCGGCCTTTCGAAGCTTGGAGGGAATGGATGCATATATCTTCATACAATCCGTGATTTACCAAGAAGTTTGAAATTTCTGTATGCCGTTGATTGCCCTGCACTGGAAACAATGCCCAATTTTTCGGAAATGTCAAATATGAGAGAACTGGAAGCAAGTGATTCTCCCAAACTCACTTGAGGCTCCACGCTTGGATAAGTTATTAAACCCCATGACATGGACTGATATGAAAAGGTTTACCAATCTCACAGCTGATTTTGGCAAGAACATCATATAGGTACCTCTCTCCCCCCTCCCTCTCTCTCCCTTAAGTTCTAATTGCCTTCCTATTGTGCGCATGCAGATTCCTATGGTTTTTCCAAAACTTAGTTGTTTTGAATTTTGAAGATATAATGCATTCAGAACGTTTCAATATTACAAGAACCGATATAAGATGCATCCAATGGTTCGAGAAATAGCACTCGAATTCTCAGAAATACAAATGCACCAATGTTTTCTTGTCAAATGCACGTTCTCATTTTACGAGTGCAACCATACTTAATATTCAACACTGGACATTACATAATCAAGTTCTTGTAATTCAAGAAGGCCATACCTCCACTCACTCTGAGATACAAAGGCATCTGTTTCTTCTTCCTTAGGGTTTCTGCAAGACCAGCTTTGATTGGGGAAGCGTCACTTTTATAGTCCGTAATAATTCTCTTCTCACCTTCTTCACTCACAACATTTTTGGTCTGCATAAAGAACATTACTACGTTTAGCTTCGTAAAGTTATATTTGTAAGGTGAAAAACAAAAGAAGCAGAAATATTCTAAAACGATTTTGAGACAAGCAAGACTTACAACTGATTTAGTTACTTTAGGAATTTTGGCTGGATTTTCCTACTTTAAGTGATTTCTTTTCCGCTCAGTTGAGTTACGTGCTACATTTCTGAGATGAGCGTTTTGAGATTGTGATTGTCGCAGTAATTGGTTGCCGAGATATAGACTTGAAACAGTCTTCTCACCTTCCTCAAATTGTTTCTTCAGAGCGGCCTGCAAAGGTCTCGAGGGGCACTCTTCGATTCCCATGAGCTTGGCAATCAGACTCGGCCCTTTCCCCGCCTTTTGCGAAGCAGCTGTTGTTGCTGCAATGGTGGAGTCACTGGTGGTATGAAACATAGAACTCTGGGTTGAGCTGGTGGAGGGAGCATCCAAGCACGAATCCATATATCGAAAATAGTTTACCCTTTTCGACAGATTATTTTCCACCAGTTTCTGCCTCACAAGGCTGTCTCTGATCACCTTCTTAAGCTTTCGATTTCCATTCCTCGAAAACCATCGGAAAAACACCTCGGATTTTCAAATTCCGTCACAGAATTGTGTTTTTTTGTTCCAAGTGAGACGTACTCTGAAGCTTCCTGTGCAACTTGCTAAGCATGACAAGAGAACCCTCCCGATCAAGAGCTCCTTCCAAGTAGTCTTTCACAATGTCCTTCGACTGCTGCCCTTCGAACCTCATCTCTTTCGACCAGGAATCAATTGTGCGGTTTAGCTTCTGAGATCCTCTGGACACTTTGACACATTTTTAGATTTCGCTATATCTTTCTCTGGTGAGTTCCCAATCACCGAAGTCACCTTTTGGATCTTATCAACCTTCTCGTCAATTGCCTCCTTTCTATGTGGTTTGAGATCTGCAGAATGAGAAGCTTTCAAATTTCTTGAAGCCTTTTCTTTCGTCTTGGCCTCTCTTTCTTCAGGTTTCTCTGCTGTCACTTTCCACTTTTTAGGTTTTTCTTCCTTATCAAACCTTTTGCTTGGAATCTCTTCTGCTTCCATTTTTCGGTGCATTTTTTCAGACTTCAAAGCTCCTTCTTTTGCTCCCAAACTTTTTGGCATCTTTTTGGTGTAGAAAGCTTCCTCCCCTCAAACCAATGGTGCACGAGGCTCCTCCAATTCCATAGATGAAAAAGGAGTTATTTTGTAAGCTTTTGGATTTCCTGCTTATGTGTGAGGCACAGTTTGACTTGAGTGATTCCAAATTTAGTCACCTTCGCTGTGATGCCTGAATTTATCTAATTCTATTGGGGTGATTTCCAATGCACCTTTGGTGTGATGCCAAAAGACAGAGTGATTCCAGATCTCTTCTTATTGTTACATACTCTAGATAAGATATATTGTCACTCGTGCAATCAAAAACCTTCTTCTAAGAATAAGACAATTAAGCATCCAAGTTGAAGAAAATCAAACACATGAAGTGAGAAAATGGACTAGATACCTCAGCAACGTCAAACCCCAAGACCAATGTCTAATGCAAGTTAGAATATACCAATCCAATAATGGGGTTTAAGGAATGCATTTCAGAATACGACGTAACAAAAAATGTTTGAGTCCAAGTTGAGCGTATATTGGAGAGAAGAAGCTATCCAAAAAGTCAGTAACCACCACGTGATATGGAAAGTCGCTACTGGAAATAGTATCACACTGCAAATGAACAAGTGAGCAGGTAATATATATATATATATGATCAAAAAGCAATATCGAAGAAAGAGAACGAAGCTTTGATCTCGTTAGCTACTGGATTAAACGAAGGAGACTTTAAAAAAAAAATGAGATTCTTTATGGATTTTCAATCATTTTATGTTTTTTTCATAATATTTTATTATGTTGGTACGAAAATTGTGTGAAAAATATAAAGCGGCGGACAGTCTATAGAAACCCCACTTTGAAAGAGTCTTCTTAACATTTCTCTTTATATATAATTGTTAGATTACTGAATTTGGTTCAACTTTAGTATCATTGATCTTTAAGGAGTAATATTCAAAATAAAAGATTTCAATTACGAGATTGCAAAATAAAAAACAAAACAAAAACATAGAACGAAAAAATTTAAATGAGAATGTAACCAATATTGGTTCAGAATTAATGTAAGAGGAAATAGCCTTTTCCTTAACGTGAATAAAGCATCTTCAAGAATCTTTTGGATAGACTTTTGTCCTTTCACGTTCATTTCTTAATTACGAAAATTAACAAAAAGTTAAAGAAAAACTTCAATTTTAATGAAAAATGACAAATAAAAATGTAATTAATAGTACTAGAAAAAAAGTAAAATTGTGGCTTTTCTTTAAAAATGAACAGTACAAAAAATGTTTCGTTAAAACTCCATTCTTAATTTCCTCTTTTCCTCTCTCTTTCGGTGCGCCCTTCCCACCCAGAAGTATGTAGTTTCTCAAGTCACTAACTAAACATTATTATATTATAAACTTATGTTTTTGTTGATTGAAGGATCTTGGGTTTAGGTATCTCAGTGTCATCGGTTCGGCAACACAAACATAACCAGTGTCATATTTTTCAGTCTTAATCTGAACCACTGCAGTGCCATAACGGTGGATACCGCCACGACAGCCCACGAAGATTCCTCTTCATCCTCCTCCAAGTCAAAACTTTGGAATTCTATGGGTGAAGTGATTGTTACGACCACGAAGAAACGACGACACCCAATAACAGTACATGATCATGATCCTCTGGGCCTAGCGCATTTGCGTCTTTCCTTGTCTCTTGATACTCTCCCTGCAGGCCGTCATATTCGGCCTCGCTCATGACAGCGTCACTCTCAACCTCGACCACGTCCTCATAATCAACCAGTACTTCTCCAGCGGCAACCACATGATCCAGCGGTCAGTGACAGTGGTGAACAGATATCCAACTCAATGGACGATGATCTTCTTGCGGGCCTTAGCAAATCCTTTGCATGTCTTTCTTTGTCAGGCCATATTCAGCCGGACGCCTGACTCTGTTCTGTTGGCCTTTACCATTTGGAGAGAGCGAAAGGCTAATCAATTAATCCCCTTCTCCTGATTTTCCTGAGACATTGAAGAGGACATGGGTTAATTAGTGTGTGCCAAACATATGAAGGAAAATATGCATGATTTAGATCTATGATGAGGCAGGACCACGCCATGATGCATCTATGATAATCATCCCAGTAATCAAAAGAGAATTAATACAGATGACCGAAATGGAAAAAGGCAAAATTTTTGAAGTGAGGGCATCTTCTGTCTATATTAAGTCACACCCAGATCGATTCTATGGTGAGGCACGATCAAGCCGGTGATGCATAGTCATCATCAGCTCATCCTCATCATCACATATCCGAGTTCATGGACTACAGATCACTGCCAGCTTCACCATCAGCAACTCAATATTTCATACTTCTTTCAGATTCTTACGATTTTTCCAGTAAGTAATTGTTTTGAATTTTGAAGATACATTGCATCCTGGAACATTTCAACATTACAAAAAACGATATAAGACACGCATCTAATGACTTGATAAATACCACTCGAATTCGCAAAACTACTTGCCCTCCAAGTGCACCCAACGTTTTCTAGTCAAATGCACGTTCTCATTTTACCAGCGTAACCCTACTTAATAGTCAACACTGGACATTACATAATTTAACCATACTTCAACAGAGAACAAACCGCTTAGATGATAAATACAACTTCATGGAGATAAAAGCAACTCTTTTCCATCTCTAGTTTAATCTATCATTTTCAGGTTTGGGACATGGTAAATTCAAGCTTGGGGCTCAAGTCTATTCATCCCTAAGCTTACTCACCAATTCCCTCCTGTACGGATAAATTTGGTCTGATAACAACCTTGGTGTTGACCAGGAACACATCACCAATGTAAAGATGGTTCGTGGGAACATAAACACAACACTTCATCTTCAGAATAGCTCTTCAAAATAATTTTGGGGACAAGGACAAATAAGTCACCATTACAAACAGTCTGAAAAACCAATTACGTTTAAAAGCACAACCTGTACAACATCATTTCATCTGTTGTGTTCTCGTTTTTCACAATGAAAAGTTATTAGCATACCTGAAGGACAACGGATGAAGTGATGAACCCGAATGCATGTTCACAATTCCAGGACCTAACATGTACATGGAAGATGAAAGGTCAGTTCTACATTGTAAAACCAAAACAAAGCAGAATCATTGAAAACGTATGTTTTGACTGTAAACCAGGCATTATATAATGAATGTGAAAGAAGCATGTAGTGTCATATGCTGCATTACGGGTATATTTCTTGTCTAAATCCAACATTGACCATACCATATGCGATGCAGGAGCCAAGGTAATAAATTAGAGTCCTAGCTAAATGCAGTTTACACATGTACTCTGCAGGTTCATTGTCTTTGAGTCTCTCTACGTTACAAGATCAATGTATTAGGTGTTCATAAATTAGTCTTTAGAATTCCAAGTATATTAATGTGAATATTCCCAGATCCATGTACAAATTAGCTTATAAAAGGAGCTATTTTGTAAGCTTTTGGATTTCCTGCTTATGTGTGAAGCACAAGTTGACTTGGAGTGATTCCAAATTTCCAAGTCGCCTTCGGTGTGATGCCAGAATTTATCTAATTGCTCTATTGGGGTGATTCCGATGGAGCTTTGGCGTGATGCCAAAGGCCAGAGTGATTCCAGATCTCTCTTTCGTTCCCATCTCTTATTGTTACGTACTCTAGATAAGATACATGGTCACTAGTGCAATAAAAAAGAAATAAGACAATTAAGCATCCAAGTTAAAGAAAATCAAACCCCTAGCTTCACCAGCCTCTGGATTTCCTTTCTCTAAGGATTGAAACTGTCTTTACTGAATTCGGATTATCGCACCAAAATTTGTCTGTAGGATTATATGAAGAGAGAAAATGGACTAGATACTTAGCTAAGCAACGTCTTACCCCAAGACCAATTACTAATGCAAGTTAGAATGTACCAATCAAATAATAGGGTTTAAGGAATGCATTTCAGAATACTTCATACCAAAAATGTTGATTCCAAGTTGAGCATGGATTGGAGAGAAGAAGCTATCCACAAAGTGAATAAACCACCACGCGATATAGAAAGTGATTGCTCTTGGAAATAGGACACACTGCAATGGAACAAAGAGTGAGCAGCTAAGAGAAACACTACCAGATCTCTCACTTACCAATGAAAAGCAATCTCGAGGAAAGAGAAGGAAGCCTTGATCTAATTAGCTACTGCATTAAACAGACGCATCAATAAAAATCCACACACCTGACAAATTAGCATAAAATTACATGAAATGGGCTCAGTCTAAAACTTATGAGAGGCTAAGTTGTACATTTGTTGAATTCATCGAGCGATGGCTATTTCTCTATCTTAGCCAACTATTCCTTTGCCTGTAAGAAAACTCCTAGAGTTGAAACAAATGATATACTTTTGCTTTCAGAAAGAGAGAAAAATAGATTACAAATACATGGCAACGATCTAAGTTCCTATCACTACTATAGCATTCCATCTTTCAGCATACCTCATGGCTCAACCTAATAAATTTAACAACTACTCTCAGCTCTAAATCTTTAGAATAATAAAAAAATCCAACCACTTCAATTCGCAACCTATGCAAAAACTTTCAGCTTTTCCATCGAATTTTCCTCCATTTTCTCAGCAACCAAACACAACATTAACACACAAAGCAATGAAATTTGACACAGAAATCGAAACTCACCTCGCGGCCTGTGTGGTGGGAGGAGGAGGAAGATGAGGAGGGTTTGAACGATGCATCTTCGTCGCCTGAGTCGGCCACCGGAATGAGAAGCTCACAATCTCGCGGTACTGTCTCTGCTCGCCATTCCTTTGTGTTTTTGGCATTTCAAATATTTTGTTTTTATTTAATTTCATTTAATTATTATTTTAATTGGGTGAGGATTATTAAAGAACGAAAATAGTTAATCCTGTTTTTTCAATTATTTAAAAATATAATAATATAGCGGAGATTATTACGTGCATGTGAGGACTTGAAGGAAATGTTATGTTTTGTTGTACCGCTAATTAAACAAGGCGCCGATTAATTAACGCTTAAGGGGCGTTTGTTTATCCTTATTAAGTTAGACTGGACTAGCTATTAGTCTTCACTAAGTTAGTACAGTTTAGTTTAGTCTAAACCAGTTCAGCTTAGTCCTAGAAGCTAATCCAGTCCGAAATAGTCCGGCGCAACAAATGCCCCTTAATGTCCAACATAATCTCTTTGGATCTTTATGGTGAGGATTATGATGATTCGGGAATCGTATCCGTTTATTATATATCATGCGGTGAGTTTTTGTTAGATATTATTTGTGTTTAATTTAAAATAAAAATATTTAAAATAACTTATGACTGCACAATTTACGATAAACGAGCACAATTCACGGATTTATGAGATTCTTAAAAAGATAATCCGACAACAACCACATATAATAAATAAACAATGATGTTAGGTAGACTAAATTTGTAAATTACATTTGCAAATTAAATAATATGTCACCAATAAAAAAAATTAAGTACATTAATTAACAGTTAAGTAATAATTTAATTATTAACTCCTATGCCATTTAGTTTATAAATTTTTATTTACAAATTAGTCTTTTTAATATTAGCCACAAACAAAAGTGATAAAACAGAAAAAACTTAAATGTGAAAGGATAAAGGATAATTAAAAACCATTATTTAAATAATGGGTGCTCGCGTTTGATTTTTTGCGGCTTCAAGGCTGCATTATTGGTTTCTTCTTTGTTGACCGCACTGTTTCAGTTTTTCTACAGTGGAAAGCCCCTTTTGCCCTTGTTGGCCACGCGTTTTTCATTGTTAATCTTTGTACTTCGACCGTGCCTTCTTGTTCGCTTTACCTTTTGTTTCATCTGTGCTTTTCGTGTCTTCCTTTCGCCCTCTGTTTTTCTTGAATCCTCCGTTGCTCTCGAATCTTTCGTTCCTTATTTCACAAAATATTCACCAAACAGATCCTGATTTTCGTTTTTTAAAGGGATTTCGTTTGCGCTCTCCGTTTTGAGGGAAGTTGTGCTCCTCTGTAAAGCTTGCTGTAGAACTAGGGTTCTGGGAGTTTTGTGGAAAGTCATAAAACTCGTTTCTAGGGTTCTTAAACTTGCAATTGGCGGGCCAAAACTTCATAGTATTTGTTTCTTTTGCCGTTTGGGATTCCGGAGTTGTCGCTGGATTTCTGGCGAATTTGTAGCGCGGTTTGGGAGCGGGCTGTCTTCAGATCATTGTGAAACAAATTTTATTGAACTCAGGTACATTCTATAATAGCTGTATTAAAGTTTTTATTTTGGATTTGTGGTGAGTTGCAGTGCTTTGTCAAGGCTTTCGTGCTTAAAAGGGCATTTTGCGTTTTGCTACCTCAGTTCATCAATCTCAGATTTGGCAGCATTGGAACACTACTGTTATTTTTTGGGTATGTTATATGTCCTTCCATTAAATGGATATCATCTAGTGGAACAACCCATATGTGGTGTTTACTTTTAGAACAAGATGGGAAGATGTAAACGGTTGGAGCTCCATACCATTTTCCAAGTTCTTTATTAATGTGAATATTATTTACCGAAACATGAACATGTCATGAAACTGTTCGTTACAAACTATTCATTACAACTTTGCACCAACTGTTTTTATTATGTTTAACAGTTTTAAAACCCACAGTATCTGTTTAACAGTTTTAAAACCCACAGTATCGTAAGGACTCTTTGCTTGTAATCTAAAAAGATGGTCTTTCTAACATTTTTATTTTCTTTTTGCAACTGTATATGAACCAGCACTGGAGAGTTTTTCAACGTGTTCGAAGCACGGCATTAAACATCACATTATTATATATGTGTCATAATACAATTGGTTTGGCACTTAAAAAAACATTTCAACCCCTTATTTGATACTTAGTGTATCAAATCGTATTTTTGGGTACTGAAAAACTTCTCATAAAAGTGGACACATTAAGAGTATGATAAGCAAGTGGTACTAATTAATAAGTTATTCTGGAAGGATTAAACCCCAATATAAGAAAATTAAGAAGAAATAAAGTAGCCATGACTAGCAAAGGCAAAGTGAAAGCGAAAGGTGGAATATTGGATTGGGATGTAAGTGGAGGACACGTAGGAGTTCTTGTATATGTCTGAGTGCTCTGGCATTGCTCCATCCACCTTTTCCTTGCCCTGCCCGTCATGTGCCAAAACTATATCACTCTAACCCTACTTTCTCAACCTTCAATATTTCTACATGAAGATCGATCTGGTTCTACCGTTCTACTTTCAGTGTTGAATATGATCAACCGCTTATAATTATTTTAAGAGTACTTCGAAACAATTCTTAGAATGTCAATAACTTCGTGTAAGTATCTACTCTTAAGTTTCTACTTTACTCCTTTCAATCTTAGACGTCTAGTGATCAGATTGTGGCGTCGTGGTGTTTCGCTGGAAATGTCCTTCCCTTAATTTTTTTTTTTTTTCAAAAAGCAACTCCAGCATTTGCTTTTCCACTGTTTTTTTTTCCACTGTCCTATTATGTTTCGGTACACTTTTGTCTCCCTAGGCCTGAAGGTGCTTTACTTTGAATAAGAATTAGTTTAATCATTGATTAACGTTTATTAACTTCAGATTTAACACGAATAATATGGTTTTTCTATTTATTACAATGAAATGCTAAGAAGACTCTTCAAAGTGAGACTCTTTAGGAATTCTCCACCATCTCATGTTTTTTGCACAATTAGTTTAATCATTGATTAACGTTTATTAATTTTAGATTTTACACAAATAATATGGTTTGCCTATTTATTATAAGGAAATGCTAAGGAAACTCCCTAAAAAATGAGAGTCCTCTATAGACTCCGTCATCTCATATTTTTGGTACAATATTTCGATAATGTTGACACAGAAATTTTGCCGAAAACATATGGTGGTGGAGAATTAAGAGTCTCACTTTGAAGAATCTTCTTAGCATCTCTCTTTATTATATAATATTTAGATTATTGAAATTGGTTGAACTTTAGCACAATTGGTATTTAAAGAGTAATATCGAAAATAAAAGATTTAAATTACGAAATTGCAAAATAAAAGACAAAATAATACATAGAGCGAAAAAATTTAAATGAGAATGCGACTAACATTGGTTGGGAATTAATGTAAGAGGAAATATAATGAGGTAGATCTTAATTGTTTCTATCCAAGAATCTTTTGGATAGTTTTTTGTTGTTTTGTGTTCCTTTCTTTCCTCTTTTCCTCTCTTTTTCCCTGCACCTTCTCGCCCAGCTGTATGTTGATTCTCGAGTCAATACCTAAACATTATTATATTATAAACTTTTGTTTTTGTAGATTGAAGGATCTTGACTTAGGTGTTTGAGTATCATCGGTTTGGCAACACAAACACAACCACTGCCATATTTTTCAGTCGTAATCTGAATCACTGCAGTACTATACCGTGGATATAGCCATGGCAGCCCACGGTGCCACCTCTTCATCATCCTCTTCAAAGTTCTGGAAGTACGATGTGTTCTTGAGCTTTAGAGGCGAAGACACACGCAAGGGCTTTACGGGCCATCTCCACACAGCATTGGAAGAAAAGGGCTACAAGGCCTTTATTGATGAGGACGATCTGAAAAGAGGGGATGAAATAAAGCCCGAACTGTTGCGGGCCATCGAAGAGTCGAGGATCTCTATCATTGTATTCTCAAAGAGGTACGCGGATTCGAGTTGGTGTCTCGACGAGCTGGTGAAAATCATGGAGTGCAGATCCAAACTGGAACAACATGTTTTGCCAATATTCTATGATGTTGAAGCTTCAGACATCAGGAAGCAGGAAGGTAGTTTAGCCCCAATGTTTCAGAAGCACGAAGAGAACATCCGTAAAGAAGAAGATGACAAAAAAGGGGAAGCCAAGAGAGAAAGGGTCGAGCAATGGAGAGAGGCTCTTACTGAAGCTGCAAACTTGTCTGGTCACGATCTTAAAAACACTGAGAACGGGTAACTATTTATTTTATTCAACTTTGATTATTTAACTGAAAAATTTAGCTTTCCCCCATGGAACTCTTTTTTCTTTGCCTTTAACCGATCATATATATTTTTCCAGACTGCACGTCGTATTTGTGTCTCTTCCCCTCCATTTCACTATCACTTTCACACATTCATTTACCTTTCTCTCCTCTTCATACTTTCTCTCTCCTCACACTCACTCCCTTCACCGTCGTCGTCAAAGCCCATAATTTCCGGCTTCAAATCGCGGCGAAGGGTCGAGATGAGCGGCTGCGATTGAAGGTCGATTTGTTGCCATATCTGCCTGGCATCGAATCCGTCGATCAAGACCTGATGTAACGGCGATTTGGGAGTGATTAGCGCTCTGGACTACTTGTGCTGTGTATTAATATTTTTTTTTTGGTTGAAAAGGAGATGAAAAAAGGAAGGGGGTTAGGGTTTTGGGGTCTCTCAGTGAGAAAATCGCAGAGAGAGATGGTTGAGAGAGGGTTTATTAATTTGGGCATGATTAGGAACAAGGTCTTAAATCAAAGTCAAACAATTTAATGCTTTAGTTTTTTTAAGGGGTGTGCATCCTATTATACTTTTCACACCCTTTGATAATTTATGTTCGTTTATCTTTTTTAATTCATCCGATTTGACAGTCGAAAATTAAAAAGGTGTGTAAGAAGTAAAATGGAATGTGTGGATATCACAACCCTTTTTTAATTAGTTATGTGTATATATATTTTAAATACCTATTAATAAAATCTTATTTGTTAACCAAAACTTCTTAAAATTATTATTCTAATCCTCTCATTAAATTGTACAAAAAAAAATATATGAGCAATATGGTAATTACATACAACACAAATTTTGTTATTTTTTTTACACAAACTTCACAGCTTGGTAAACATAATAACACACCCTACTTTAAAGTTAAAATTAGATGTAAGTGCCCTTTTCTACAGTGGTGAGAATGAGTTGAGCTCTTGTATGATGTCGTGGATTCGAATCTTGTCGGTAATTAATTTAACACCTAATTTAACAAAATTTATCATATGACAGAAAAAAAAAAAAAAAGTTCAAAATTAGATTAAAAAATTAAGTAGGTTTTGTTTAAGCTCACGTGTCCCACTGCAGCCCCTTCCCCTTCTTCCGAGTTCCAGCCCAATTTTATTTCCTTTTTTTTTATAATTTTTTTTATTGCTAGTTCATTGGGAGATTAAGCTCATTCCCTTTCTTTAGTGTAGATAATATGTTTGTTCATAAAAAAAGTGACAAATATTTTTATAAAAATTAATAACACGAATTTAATTACAAAGTTTTGTTTGAAAAAGAAGTGACAAAATATTTTTATAACAATTAATAGACAAATTAAATTACACATGCATAACGTGTGGGCATACGACTAGTAGTTTTTTTTTAATTTTTTTTATTTTGAATAAACAATATTATCTACACTAAAAGGAAGAGGTAGGCTTAGCCTCACAATGGGCTAGCAATAATGTTGTTTAAATTTGTTTTTGACAAGAATCGAACTTAAGACCTGTCAGTTACAAGTAAAGAAGAATATCACTAGATTGTAATACTAAATGATGACTAGTAGTTAACAATGTTAACTTTAAAATTAAGTGAAATGACTCATGTAAAAAAAAAAAATCTCAATTGCTTTTCTTTGCACTTCTACTTTTCAATCCAATCCTAATCTAGGTGGGATAGTCTGCACCAAACAGTAGATGCATAGCCCAACCCATCCCTTCCAATCCTAACCTAACCACTCCACCAAACGTGGCCTATAGGTATATAACTTGCCTATACTATCTAAGTGAATATGCAATATATAGGTAAATTACTCAAAAAAACAAATTGCACAATTACAATAAGCCCACAATGCCTCAAATTTAAAAAGGTAAATTAGTGACTATGCAATCTAATTAAATTAGTGAATATATGTGTATGTACACACACACACACAATATACAGTCTTGCAGATTACGAGAAGCTCAAAATGCATAGATTATAGTTATTGAACACGTAATACAATATTTAAAACACACAAGGAAAATAATTAGCTTTTATTGTCTAGATTGTGTACGTTATCTAATGGTGTAAGAACAAATTTGATAATAGGTGTTACTGGTATAAGTTGTAAATAATTTGTAATAATAAGGTCATTCATTTGTCTGCGTGACAACTTATGTAATAATAGGTCACTTGTTGATATATTTCTTCTAATTAGTTAATTCTTGCAAATAGTAAGTCGCTGCAAGTCTACACCGCCATTTGTATTTTCTTACGAATTGTGTTTTCAGGCATGAAGCAAAGCTTATTAAGAAAATTATTTATGAGAATCTTTGGAAATGGCTCCCCAGAACAAAAAAATTACATGTGGCCAAGTTCCCAGTTGGAATCAATTCTCGTGTTCAAGAAATTATCACTTATCTTTCAAGTGCTGAAGGAAATAAGGTTCTCATGGTTGGAATTTGGGGGATGGGTGGATTGGGTAAAACAACAGCTGCTAAAGCCATTTATAACCAAATTCATCATGAGTTTGAATTCAAAAGTTTCCTTGCCGACGTTAGCGACACTACAAGTAAACATGGCCTGGTTCATTTGCAAAAAAAACTAAGTTCTGACATCATGGATCAAGAGATTAAAATAAGCACTGTTGATGAAGGTATCTGTTGGATAGAAAAGCAATTTTCACATAGAAGGGTACTTGTCATCATGGACAACATAGATGGAGTGGAACAACTCAATGCAATAGCTGGAAATCACAAGTGGTTTGGTCCAGGAAGTAGAATTATCATAACAACACGAGATAAACATCTACTACTAAAAGTGGACAAAGTATATCCGGCTCAGATATTGAATAAAGAAGAAGCTCTGGAACTCTTTAGTTGGCATGCATTTGGAAATAGACGGCCTAACGAAGGATATTTTCAACTCTCAGAAAAAGTTGTTTCTTATTGTGGAGGTTTGCCACTAGCCCTTGAAGTTTTAGGTTCTTTTTTGTGTGAAAGACCCCCAAAAGTGTGGATTAGTCAATTGGAGAAATTGGAAAGAACTCCTGATGGAAAAATAATAAAACCACTAAGAATGAGCTTTGACGGGCTAGATGATATGGAGAAGGCTACATTTCTTAACATATCTTGTTTCTTTATTGGAGAGGATGAGGACCGTGTTGCAAAATTGTTAGATGTATGTGGATTTTCTGCAACAGTAGGAATCAACGTCCTCTGTGAACGATGCCTTGTAACTGTTGAAGGCAACAAGTTGAATATGCATGATTTGCTTCGAGAAGTGGCCCGAGTAATCATTTCTGAAAAATCTCCTGGTGACCCTGGAAAATGGAGCAGGTTGTGGAATCGTGAAGTTGTCACCAATGTATTGACATATAAATCTGTAAGTACATTCCCAATAAAATTTTGGATTTTTGCATCCTACAAGAAAAGCATGTCTATTATACTTTAAACAACATTCATGTGTAAATATATGTGGTTGCGCAAGGAAAGCTCAATTAGCGAACAATAGTACTTGCATATATTCACCGTACGTGATTTTTGCCTAATAAATAATAATACATGTAAACATGTGCAATCCCTTTCTTACGCAGTATAACCTTTTTTTAACAGGGAACTGAAGAAGTTGAAGGACTTGCTCTTCATTTGCCTTATGGTTATGACAATGCTAGTTTCAGTACAGAAGCATTTGCCAATATGAAGAAACTGAGACTACTTCATCTCAAAAACGTACGGCTTAATGGAGAATACAAACATCTTCCCAAAGAGTTAATATGGTTTCGCTGGAAACTATGCCCTTTAAAGTCCATACAAGATGACTTTTTTAATCAACCAAGACTAGTTGTTTTAGAGATGCAGTGGAGCAAACTGGTACAAGTTTGGGAGGGTTCCAAGGTACAATGAATTACACCTGATGATGTTGTGTTTCTGTTTGTTTTTTGGATTTCTTCTTCTTTTTTTTTTTTTTAATTTTTTTTAATTTTATAACATCTTCATTTCAGATATTAATTTTCAATTTTCTTTTGATTTTTTGCAACAGTCCCTACATAACTTGAAAACCCTTGATCTCAGCTATTCCCGTTCCTTACAGAAATCACCGGACTTTTCACAAGTCCCAAATCTTGAAGAGTTGATATTGGAAGGGTGTGAGAGTTTGACCGAGATTCACCCCTCCATTGGTCATCTTAAAAAACTTTCTTTGGTGAACCTTTCAGGATGTCATTATAAGCTTATTTCTCTTCCAAGGGATTTCTATAAATTGAAATCTGTTGAGATTCTTCTTCTTAATTACTGTCGAAAATTCAGAGAACTGCATGAGGATATAGGGGAGATGATATCACTGAGAACACTTGAAGCAAAGCAAACAGACATAAGAGAAGTACCACCTTCCATAGTAAGATTGAAGAATCTCATTCGTTTATCCCTTGACCACATCAGCGTAGAGCTCAAAGGAGAAGACAAACATCTTCCCAAAGAGTTAATATGGTTGCGTTGGGACCTATGCCCTTTAAAGTCCATACCAGGTGACTTTTTTAATCAAGATAAACTAGTTGTTTTAGAGATGCAGTGGAGCGAACTGATACAAGGTTGGGAGGGTTGCAAGGTACAATGAATTACAACTGATGATGTTCTGTTTCTATTTGTTTTTTGGATTTCTTCTCTTTTATTTTTATAATATCTTCATTTCGGATATTAATTTCAATTTTCTTTTTATTTTCTGCAACAGTCGCTTCATAACTTGAAAACCCTTGATCTCTGTTATTCCCGTTCCTTACAGAAATCACCGGACCTTTCACAAGTCCCAAATCTTGAAGAGTTGATATTGGAAGGGTGTGAGAGTTTGACCGAGATTCACCCCTCCATTGGTCATCTTAAAAGACTTTCTTTAGTGAACCTTAAAGACTGTCATAAGCTTATTTCTCTTCCAAGGGATTTCTATAAATTGAAATCTGTTGAGACTCTTCTTCTTAATATGTGTTCAAAATTCATAGAACTGCATGAGGATATAGGGGAGATGATATCACTGAGAACACTTGAAGCTGAGCGAACAGCCATAAGAGAAGTACCACCTTCCATTGGTCATCTTAAAAGACTTTCTTTGGTGAACCTTAGAGACTGTCATAAGCTTATTTCTCTTCCAAGGGATTTCTATAAATTGAAATCTGTTGAGACTCTTCTTCTTAATTACTGTCGAAAATTCAGAGAACTGCATGAGGATATAGGAGAGATGATATCACTGAGAACACTTGAAGCAAAGCAAACAGACATAAGAGAAGTACCACTTTCCATAGTAAGATTGAAGAATCTCACTCGTTTATCCCTTGATCGCATCAGCGTAGATCTCAAAGGAGAATACAAACATCTTCCCAAAGAGTTAATACAGTTGCGTTGGGAAGATTGCCCCTTAAAGTCCATACCAGATGACTTTTTTAATCAAGATAAACTAGTTGTTTTAGAGATGCGGTGGAGCAATCTGGTACAAGTTTGGGAGGGTTCCAAGGTACAATGAATTACACCTGATGATGTTCTGTTTCTATTTGTTTTCTGGATTTCTTCTCTATTTTTTTTAATAACATCTTCATTTCGGATATTAATTTTAATTTTCTTTTGATTTTCTGCAACAGTCCCTTCATAACTTGAAAACCCTTGATCTCAGCTATTCCCTTTCCTTACAGAAATCATCGGACTTTTCACAAGTCCCAAATCTTAAAGAGTTGATATTGGAAGGCTGTTGGAGTTTGTCCGAGATTCACCCCTCCATTGGTCATCTTAAAAGACTTTCTTTGGTGAACCTTAGAAGGTGTCACAATCTTTGCTCTCTTCCAAGGGATTTCTATAAGTCGAAATCTGTTGAGACTCTTCTTCTTAATAGGTGTTTGAAATTCAGAGAAGTGCATGAGGATATAGGGGAGATGATATCACTGAGAACACTTGAAGCAGAGCAAACAAACATAAGAGATGTACCACCTTCCATAGTAAGATTGAAGAATCTCACTCGTTTATCCCTATCAGATGTGGAAAGTATTCATTTGCCACATTCGTTACACGGCTTAAACTCTTTAAGGGAATTACATCTCTCACGTTGCCGATTAGCTGATAATGAAATCCCTAAGGATCTTGGGAGTCTAATTTCTTTACAAGTTTTGGATCTTTCAGGGAATGATTTTCATACCCTACCCAGTCTCAGTGGTCTTTCAAAGCTTGAATTTCTGCGGTTAGATTAATGCTTTAACCTTCGTACAATCCTTGATATACCACCAGATGTGAAAGTTCAGCATGTGATTCTCCCAAACTCACTGAGGCTCCACGCTTGGATAAGTTATTAAATTCAAACCCCATGACATGGACTGATATGAAAAGGTTTACCAATCTCATAGCTGATTTTGGCAAGAACATCATACAGGTATCTCTCTCCCTTCTCCCCCTCTCTCCCCTAAGTTCTAATTGCCTTCCTATTATGCGCATGCAGATTCCTATGGTTTTTCCAAAACATAGTTGTTTTGAATTTTGAAGATATATTGCATTCAGAAACATTTCAATATTACAAGAACCGATATAAGATGCATCCAATGATTCGATAAATAGCACTCGAATTCGCAGAAATACAAATGCACCAACGTTTTCTTGTCAAATGCACGTTCTCATTTTATGAGTGCAGCCATACTTAATAATCAACACTGGACATTACATAATCAAGTTCTTGTAATTCAAGAAGGCCATACCTCCACTCACTCTGAGATACAAAGGCATCTGTTTCGTCTGCAAGACCAGCTTTGATTGGGGAGGCGTCACTTTTATAGTCCGTAATAATTCTCTTCTCACTTTCTTCACTCACGACATTTTTGGTCTGCATAAAGAACATTACTACGTTTAGCTTCGTAAAGTTATATTTGTAAGGTGAAAAAAAAAAAAAAAGCAGAAATTTTCTAAAACGATTTTGAGACAAGGAAGACTTACAACTGATTTAGTGACCTTAGGATTTTTGGCTGGATTTTCCTTCTTTAAGTGATTTCTTTTCCGCTCAGTTGAGTTACATCCTAATTTCTGAGATGAGCGTTTCGAGATTGTGATTGTCGCAGTAATTGGTTGTCGAGATATTGACTTGAAACAGTCTTCTCACCTTCCTCAAACTGTTTCTTCAGAGCGTCCTGCAAAGGTCTCGAGGGGTGCTCTTCGATTCCCATAAGCCTGGCAATCAGACTCGGCCCTTTCCCCGCCTTTTGCGAAGCAGCTGTTGTTGCTGCAATGGTGGAGTCACTGGTGGTATGAAACATAGAACTCTGGGTTGATCTGGTGGAGGGAGTATCCAAGCACAAATCCATATATCGAAAATAGTTTACCCCTTTCGACAGATTATTTTCCACCAGTTTCTGCCTCACAAGGCTATCTCTGATCACCTTCTTAAGCTCTTGATTTCCATTCCTCGAAAACCATCAGCAGAACGCTTCGGTTTTTCAAATTCCGTCACAGAATTGTGTTTTATTGTTCAAGTGAGAAGTACTCTGAAGCTTCCTGTGCAACTTGCTAAGCATGACAAGAGAATCCTCCCGATCAAGAGCTCCTTCCAAGTAGTCTTTAACAATGTCCTTCGACTGCTACCCTTCGAACTTCATCTCTTTCGACCAGGAATCAATTGTGCGGTTTAGCTTCTCAGATGCTCTGGACACTTTGACACATTTTTAGATTTCGCTATATCTTCCTTTGGTGAGTTCCTAATAACCGAAGTCACCTTTTAGATCTTATCAACCTTCTTGTCAATTGCCTCCTTTCTATGTGGCTTGAGATCTGCAGAATGAGAAGCTTTCAACTTTCTCGAAGCCTTTTCTTTTGTCTTGGCCTCTTATTCTTCAGGTTTCTCTGCTGTCACTTTCCACTTTTTAGCTTTTTCTTCCTTGTCAAACCTTTTGCTTGGAATCTCTTCTGCTTCCATTTTTTGGTGCATTTTTTCAGGCTTCAAAGCTTTTTCTTTTGGTCCCAAACTTTTTGGCATCTTTTTGGTGTAGAAGGCTTCCTCTCCTCGAACCAATGGTGCACGAGGCTCCTCCGATTCCATAGATGAAAAAGAGCTACTTTGTAAGCATTTGGATTTCCTTCTTATGTGTGAGGCACGGGTTGACTTGGAATGATTCCAAATTTAGTCACCTTCGCTGTGATGCCTGAATTTATCTAATTGCTCTATTGGGGTCATTTCCAATGCACCACATGATATAGAAAGTCGCTATTGGAAATAGGATCACACTGCAAAAGAACAAAGAGTGAATATGATTAAAAAGCAATCTCGAATAAAGACAACAAAGCTTTGATCTCATTAGCTACTAGATTAAACAGATGTGTCAAAAAAAAATCCACACACACGACATGATTAGCGTAAAATTAGATGAAATGGGCTAGGTCTAAAACTTATAAGAGGTTAAGTTGTGCATTTCTTGAATTCATCTAGCAAGAGGCTATTTCTCGATCTTATCCAACTATTCCTTTGCTTGTAACAAAACTCCTAGAGTTCAAACAAATGAGAGAAGAATGGAGAAAAATAGATTATAAATGCATGCCAACAATCTAAGATTAAGTTCCTATCACTACTAAAGCATTCCATCTTTCAGCATGCCTCATGGCTCAAGCTAATAAATTTAACAACTACTCTCATTGTCTCTGTCTCTGCTAGCCGGATTATTACGTGTGAGGAGTTGAAGGAAATGTTGTGTTTTGTTGTTTCGCTAATTAAACAGAGGGCGGATTAATTAATGCTTAATCTCTCATTGTTTCTCAATTGTTTCTCAATTTTTTGGCAATGAAATCTTTAGATGTGAGAGTTGTTGAATATTTATACATACACGCTTCTTAATTAGAATGTAATTTGGATGGTCTTTTAAATGATTCGACCTCGATTTTGGATTCCTAAGAGCATATTGGAATGAGTAGAACCGAGCTTAAACTGAAACATGATAAGAGCGTTTTTAAATGATATGTCAAATTTATAATGACATCATTAACTTTTAGAAAACACAATTGAGTTTGGCTTTAACTGAAATGTTTTAGTCATATGAAATAGCGGCTTCAATAAGTGCTGCCAATTTTAACATTATTTTTGTATTTTCTCTCTTTTTTAAAACTCCATGCCCACCTATATCTACCATTAAATTTAATGTGGAGCTCAACTTAGATACATAAATAACTTTTACAAATTAAAAGATCTCATCTTATCGGAAATAGCATTTGTAGATGAACAAAGGGAAGGAAATAAATAAAAAAATTTAAGTTGGTTTTTGTTAAGAGAAAGGAAAGACATAAAATGGCTTGGGACTTAGACTTGGACATCTTATTTCCTTATGATTGCAACATGTTTGAAAGTTGAAGTTTGTTAAATTTCAGGTAGACAGGCCCAAGGATCCACTCTAACAACACATCTACTGTCTTCACTTGGCTACATGCTCAATCCATCAGATGTGGGGTTTTATTGCAAAAGGCCTCGGTATTAGTTAAAGTGAGGTAATTCTATTTAAATGACTTGTTCTCAAGCTTTCTGGCCGATGCGGGATAGAGGAATTCTAACAAGTTTGAGGAAGCCTAAAGAAGTTGAAAAGTATGTTTTAAAGTTTGTGTGTTGAAATTTGAACATCATACAACATAAATCAGGCATCATAGACTAAGAAATTTTTGCACCAAACACTTCACTCAATATTTAAACATGTCTTTTATGCTGTAAAAGTCACTTCTTTATAATATAAAAGCACCTATTGGGTTGTTTGCCAAATAACAAACTACTTCGTAAACGTGCTACTAACAAAAGTGTTTTATAGAGAAGCACTCTCAAACAACCGAGTATTCGTCTAGTTATATATATATATATATTTCTTCCTAATAATAATGACGTATAGAGAAGTGCTCTCAAACAACCGCTAACGAGGAAATATTGAGATAAGAGAGGTTTTTTTGGCAATTTGCTTCCCCTTTCAAAATTGATGATAAGTGCCTCGTGGTGCAAGAAGCATGGGGATGATGCCGATTATGCCCCTGCAGATTGCATAGAAGGTGATGGCGCTAACGATGATTTAAATTATGATTATGCTCCAGCAGCATCTATGGAAGGTGATGATGACGACAACGATGACGATGGTTATGATTATGCACATGCTGCATAAAAAATTAGTAGTTTATTTTTCATGTTTTTATGCTGGCTAACTAGCCTTGATGAATTGAGGAATTATAACGTGCTAGTAGGATTGCTCGATCCCTTCGAAATTTTTTGTTGAGGGTCGAATTATTTATGAAGTATGTTCAATTTAAGCCAATCAGTTGTTGTCTCTGATGACAATAATATATGGTTAAATGGAGCAAAATTGTGCGAGGTTAACTTGTTATTATTGAGATATACTGTTTCTTTCCTAGCATACTAAAAAGTACCACAATATATATAAAGAGGAAGATAATGGAATTCTTCGAGACTAATTAGTGGTCATGGGAGTGCAGAGATTTGTTAGTTTGTCGGATACACAGTTTGGTACAACAAGTATCGCAATACAATTGGCTTAAAACTAAAAAAAAAAAAAAAAAATCAACCAATTGTATTACATATGAGTGCTTTGGCATTGCTCCATCCGCTTTTTCCTTGCCCTGCCCGTCATGTGCCAAAACTGTATCACTCTAGCCCTACTCTCTACCTTCAACATTTTTAAATGAAGATTGATCTGGTCCACTCTACAGTTCTACTTTCACTGTTGAATATAATCAATTGCTTGTAGTTATTTTAAAAGTACTTTCAAACAATTATTAGAGTACCAATAACTTCTTCCGTAAGTATTTACTATTAAGTCTCTCTAGATGCTAAAAATACGACAAAAACCGCACATGTACATAACCAGTGGTCTCTTCTTTTCTCTTTGGAAGTATTTTCTAGGTAGAAAATTCTGTTTGTTTCTTATATTATTAATCCGTAGGCGACTAGTCCATATGAAAATTGAAATTGTTTTATCATATGATGACATGAAGTCAATGCTACAAAGAATAAAATGATTCCTCTTGAGCTAATGTTTCATTAAATAATAAATACCTAACATGTATGTCTTGAGCCAAACGATGTTACATAATCAAATAGTACTATACGATTATTGGAATCATTTTCCTAATTCACCATTTAAAAACAACTCCTGCAAAAAATCAATCAAATGAGTAATAGTTTAACCATTGATTAAAGTTGTCAAAAATTTCAAGGTTTATTGAGTTACATAATTTGTCTATTTATTACATATCTATCAGATTACTACACGGTTTCAAATTTAGTTAAACTTTAGTATAGTTCATGTTTAAAGGGTAACCTCGAAAATAAAAGGTTTAAATCATGTTTACAACATTATAGAATGAGAAACAAAATACAAAAGATAGAGCGAAAAAATTTAGATTTGAAAGTTGCTAGTATTCGTTCATAAAATGAAAGATGACTATTAATTGTTTTTACCATAAGATTGAAAAGCAAACATTAGCCTCTTCTTTAATGTATAAAGCATATTGGTCCCACCACAAAACACGTTGCCAATTATCTCGATCGTATTCATATATGAATCTTTTGCTAAACTTCAATCTTAGACATCCAGTTATCAAATAGCGGCATCGTGGTTCTTCACTGGAAACGTCCTTCCCTTGGTTTTTTTTCAAAAAGCGGCTCCTGCTTTTCTTTTTCACTTCGTTTTTGTTTTTGTTTTTTTTTTTTTTTCAAAAAGCAACTCCTAAAAAATTCACCGTCCTATTATGTGGAAAAATGGCTCCTGCTTACGTTGAATAAGAATTTGTTTAATCATTGATTAACGTTTATTAATTTCAGATTTTACTTGAATAACATAGTTTATCTATTTATTATAAGAAAATGCTAAAGAGATTCTTTTAAAAATGAGACTCTGTATGAAATTTCCGCCATCTTTTTTTTTTTTGCACAATATTTTATTATATTGGCACCAAAATTGTATAAAAAACATGAAGCGACGGAGAGTCTATGGAAACCCCACTTTAAAAGAGTCTTCTTAGCATTTCTCTTTATTATATAATCGTTAGATTACTAAATTTGGTAACTTTAGTATAATTGATCTTTAAGGAGTAATATCCAAAATAAAAGATTTAAATTATGAGATTGCAACAAAAACATAGAGTGAAAAAATTTAAATGAGAATGTAACCAATATTGTTTCAGAATTAATGTAAGAGGAAATAGCCTTTACCTTAACGTGAATAAAACATCTTTCAGAGTTTCCAATAATCTTTTGGATAGTCTTTTGTTCTTTCGGGTTCCTTTCTTAATTTCCTCTTTTCCTCTCTCTTTCTGTACACCTCTCTCCGGATCTTTTCCTCCAAAGTCCACAAATCAAGTGATCTGAACCTATTTGATCAAACGGCTAAAAAACAGAAAAGTTAGTAAAAACTTTTAAAAGTTATAATAATTTTTTACCGTTTAATCAAATTTTAAGGATACGGATCACTTGATCCGTGAACTTTGAAAGAAGAGATTCAGAGAGGATATCTTTCCTTCTCAAGTCACTAACTAAACATTATTATATTATAAACTTTTGTTTTTGTTGAAGGATCTTGACTTGGGTCTAGGTATCTCAGTGTCATCGGTTTGGCAACACAAACACAACCACTGCCATATTTTTCAGTCTTAATCTGAACCGTTGCAGTGCCATAACGGTGGATACCGCCATGACAGCCCACGAAGCTTCCTCTTCATCCTCCTCCAGGTCTAAACTTTGGAATTCTATGGGTGAAGCGATTGTTACGACCACGAAGAAACGACGACTCCCAATAACAGGACATGATCATGATCCTCTGGGCCTAGCGCATTTACGTCTTTCCTTGTCTCTTGAGACTCTCCCTGCACGCCGTCATATTCGGCCTCGCTCACGACAGCGTCCTCTCAACCTTGACCACATCCTCATAATCTCCCGGTACTTCTCCAGCGGCAGCCACAGGATCCAGCGGTCAGTGACAGTAGAGAGCAGACATCCAACTCAATGGACGATGATCCTCTTGCGGGCCTTTGCAAATCCTTTGCATGTCTTTCTTTGTCTCCTGATCATCAATCCACTTTCTCAGGCCACATTCAGTCGGACGCCTGACTCTGTTGACCTTTACCATTTGGGGAGAGCGAAAGGCTAATCAATTAATCCCCTTCTCTTGATTTTCCTGAGACATTGAAGAGGACATGGGTTAATTAGTGTGTGACAAACATATGAAGGAAAATATACATGATTTAGATCTATGATGAGAATTACTACAGATGACAGAATTGGAAAAAGGCAAAATTTTTGAAGTGAGAGCATCTTCTGTCTATATTAGATCGATTCTATGGTGAGGCATGATCAAGCCGGTGATGCATAGTCATCATCAGCTCATCCTCATCATCACATATCCGAGTTCATGGACTACTGATCACTGCCAGCTTCACCATCAGCAACTCAATATTTCATACTTCTTTCAGATTTTTATGATTTTTGCAGGAAATAATTGTTTTGAATTTTGAAGATATATTGCATCCTGGAACATTTCAACATTACAAAAACCGATATAAGACACACATCTAATGACTTGATAAATACCACTCAAATTCGCAAAAATACTTGCCCTCCAAGTGCACCCAACGTTTTCTATTCAAATGCACGTTCTCATTTTACCGGCGTAACCATACTTAATAGTCAACACTGCATAGATGATAAATACAACTTCATGGAGATAAAAGCAACTCCTTTCCGTCTCTAGTTTAATCTATCATTTTCAGGTTTGGGACTTGATAGGTAAATTCAAGCTAGGGGCTCAAGTCTATTCATCCCTAAACAAGGTACAATTTGGACACGAATGAAAATCCACCTTCTTTAGTCTTGAGTTCTTTCATCAAGGGAATCTACCTTACGAGTGTTATCTATCTCACTTTTTTTACAAGATTTATCCTCGTCATTTGCTTTCAATTGAAGGTTCCACTGTCTTCCAACTGGTCTAACCTCAGTAATTCTGGCAATAGGCTCACTACTCCTGGAGCTAACATCAGAGTAATCTGCCAATGATTGCATCTTGCCCATGAGATATGCATGCAATAGCAATAATGAGTGGTTTAACATTACGTTAAAAGACATAAACTAATATTATGAAATCAATAGCTCAAGAATACTGATGTGAAAACTTGTCCTGCCGAGGAAACCGACTTTTAGCTGCCCCAACTTGCAACTTCTCAAATGGAGGGGGCCGTTACCATCACTTTCCTGTGAAATCCTTAAAGATGAATGTGAAAACTCGGAATATTTTGTGTTCTTCTGCCATTCTTCGTAAATTGATTGAACAACATCTCCCAACAGTCACAACTTTAGGACTCAAACATACTATTCCGTTACCTTCCGAACAGACCTGCCGATCAGAAAGTAGGACAAGCAAAAGATGTTCAGTTAACTCCAAAATGCGACCTTTATCTACGCACCTGTTTTCCCTGAATCACTTAAGAAAGTGGGACTAGAGAGACCCATAAAACTTCTTGTGAAATTCATTTTAAGTTTCATGAAAAAAGCACTTATATCTAGTGCATAATGGTGTTCCACATAATAATTGCCAAAACTAAAAAATTTGTCAGGGTCTTCCAGTGCAGTGTTGAGCTAATGTCACATATGAAAATACACGAAGACGGAGCACACAGTGTTGATCACTAAGTTGTACGAAAGTGTGAGTTTTCGTTGTTTTCCATTATCTAGCTCAATTTCGTCTGAACATATACAAAATCCAAAAAGTGAACAATCAAAGAAATCTCTAGCTTATTAAATATAAAACACATGCTGAGCATTGAGCAGGCATCAAGAAGCAGAAAGTACCCTAGTTCCAGGAACGACGTCGTCAGGGATTGCCGGGGTATGAGAGTACTCCACAGCTGTGGCCGTCGTCAGGGATCGTCAGGCATCAAAAGCCGTCGACGACTCAAATTCATCGAAAAATCCTCCGTACTGCTTTTAGCAACGTCCCTTACCCAAGCCATTGATAACGAAACACAAAGGAAAGACCACATTTTTCTTTCTCTATATCTATTTTCTCAGCAACCAAACAGACGACAAGAAAAATTAACGAGAAATACAGAGAGGTGTGATTTACCTGGAGGACTTTGGGGCCGAGGAGGTGAGAGGACCTTAGGAGCGTATGCGGGTCGGGCATGGACCTGGCGGAGATGGATTTAAGGTTCATGTTGGTGAGCTCGGCTTCCATTGAGTTCACTACCGTACGCGTGTCGTCGGACAAGGCGGGGTGGATCAGGATCTTCTCCTCCACTTGTTCAAGGTTGCCGAAGCACCATCATCTGGTTCTTAGGGTTTCGATTGCGGCGTCGGAAGAGGCGCCGGAACTCCCCTCCATATTTTTGGTGCCAGTTTGCCGGGTAGTTTGATTTTGGGGGTTTTCCGAATTTTGCAACAGGAAACGGGGGTCTCTCCTTTTCTTTTTGGAAGTAATTTTCTAGGTAGAAAATTCTATGTGTTTCTTATATTAGAGATCCATAGGCGACTAATATATATGAAAATTGAAATGATGTTTATCGTATGATTACACGAGTAATAGTTATTTAAATTGACAAAATTTCAGTGTTTATCGGATGACATGATTTGTCTATTACCACACATTTTGAATTTGGTTGAATTTTAGTATACTTCATGTTTAAAGAGGGAGAAAATTTAAATACGAAAGTTGCTAGCATGTGTTCCAAAGAGAAAAGCTACAATTAATTGTTTCTACCATAATATTGAAAAGCAAATATAGCTTTTTCTTTAATGTGGATCTTTTGCAAAACTTGAATCTAGCCATCCAGTGATCAGATAATGGCATCGTGGTTTTCCACTGGAAACGTCCTTCCCTTGGTATTTTTTTCAAAAAACAGCTCCTACTTTTCCACCGTCCTATTACGTGTTGGTAGGGTTACAAGACCACTTTTGTTTCACCGGGGCCTCAATTGAAGGTGCTTTGCTTTCAGAGGAGACTTAAAAGAGTATTTCACTAATCAGAACAATTTCGAGTCAATAATTGAATCACCGGTCAGGTCTGCGGAGAGGGATCCATAGAGCATTTTGGTCCATTCCATCTCATTTTAATGGACGTAGATGACTTTAGCTTTTGTTAACTGAAGGAGCTTGAATAGGGTTTAGATATTTCAGTATCATCGGTGTTAGTGTAAATGAATTCACTCGATTAGGATCTAGAGAGAGAGCTGGACAGAAAAAACAACAATGAACAAATTGGAAGCTGAATGGTTTCTTTTCTCTCTTGCTAAAGTTGCAGAGGAATATTTTCTCTGTGTGTTAAAGAGAGCACGAAGCTCTTGCTTTTACATAACTGTTGGCCTTTAACTTGGGACCACACATACACTACATTTCATCTTAGTCACTCATCTACCTAATTACATGGATCAACCAACACATGGCACTCATGGCCTTTTACAAAACAGAACTTTACACTTGGCATTATTTTGCACAAGTGGATACACCAATTTAAGAAATCTTATTCTAAACTTTTCAGCTCAACACTTATAATTCAACACTCCCCTTTAAGTTTTGAGCTGATTTCACACCAAGCATTTCCCTAAGATAGTTAAACCGATCCTTTGTTAAAGCCTTAGTGAATATGTCTGCCACTTGCTCATTTGTTGGATAGTACACTAAATCGATTATCCCTTCCTGGAGTGCACTCTTGATGAAATGATACCTTCTGTCAATGTGCTTGGTTTTCTGATGAAAAATTGGATTTTTAGTGATTGCAATTGCAGCTGTATTGTCACAGAGGCCCATGAGAACACTCCACTGCCAAAAGAAAATGCATAACCAGAAGTACTTTTGCTATCATCAACAGATCCTCCCCAATCACTATCACATAATCCGATTAACATTGCATTCTTTCCCTTTACATACTCCAGACCATAATCTAATGTTCCCTTGATGTATCTAAGCACTCTTTTGGCTGTTCCAAAGTGTTTGTTTGTAGGACAGTGCATGAATCGGGCTAGAAGGCTTGCAACATACATTATATCCGGTCGAGTAGCTGTGAGATACAACAAACTTCCCACAATTCTTCGATACTGTTCCTCACTTGCTAAACCACTGCCATCATCTTTGCATAGCTTTTTTGATAAAACAAGAGGTGCGAACACAGATTTACAATCATTCAAACCAAACTTATCCAACAAGGAAGCTGCATACTTTCTTTGATGGATTAAAATGCTTATGTGAGTTTAAATGACTCCCATACCAAGAAAATGGTGAAGAAGTCCCAAATCTGTCATTTCATACTTTATCATCATGTCTTCCTTGAACTCCTTCAACATCTCATTGCTATTTCCAGTATACACTATGTCATCCACATAAATTGAAACAATTAGAATTTCTCCTCCCCTTGCTTTGATGTAAAAAGTAGCTTCACTTTGACTTTTCACAAACCCACAGTGAGCAAGGTAGGTATCAATTTCACTATACCAGGCCCTTGGTGCCTGTTTTAGACCATACAAAGCTTTATGAAGCTTGTACACCTTGTCTTCACTCCCCTTGATCACAAACCCATCTGGTTGTTCTACATAACCTTCTTCTTCGAGTACTCCATTCAGAAAGGCAGATTTTACATCTAGTTGGTATAATTTCCAACTTTTCTGAGCTGCCAAAGCAATTAGAGTCTGAATTGTATCAAGTCTATCTACAGGTGCAAACGTTTCATTGTAATCAACACCTCGTTTCTGAGCATATCCCTTGGCTACCAACCTTGCCTTATGCTTTTGCACTGTCCCATCAAGATTAAGCTTAGTCTTGAACACCCACTTAACCCCAATTATAGGTTTATCACTTGGTCTGTTCACTAGATCCCATGTTGCATTCTTCTCAATCATTGACAATTCATCTTTCATAGCCTTCATCCATGATTCATCTTTAGCTGCCTCTTCAAACTTTTCAGGTTCCATAATGCAAAGATTGCATTGTGCTAGAACATCATCTAGATTCCTCCATCTCAATGGAGTGTGATCAAAGGCTTGAGTCTTTCTCATGCTGCTGTTCACATCACTTACAGATTCATGAGAAGATACCAGACTTGGTGACAAAGCACAGTCATTATCTTCTGAAGTTGTCCCTGATGAAGTACATTTAGGCATCTTAGATAACTCATTATGATTCAACACAGTTACATAATTCTCAGAAGCTTTCTTCCATTCCCAAGCTACATTTTCATCAAACACTACATCCCTTGAGAGTATAAGCTTTTTTTTACTAAGGGGGTCATACACTCTGTACCCCTTTTCACAGGTTGCATAACCTACAAATATGCCCTTGACACTCTTTGCATCTAGTTTCTGTCTCAACTCACTTGGTGTGTGTACATAACACAAACAACCAAAGATTCTAAGATGTGCAATTCCAGGTTTTCGACCACTGAATGCTTCAAATGGAGTTACTTCTCCAAGAGCTCTTGTAGGACACCTATTCAGTATGTAGACAGCTGTGAGTACATATTCTGCCCATAAATAGTAAGGTAATCCTTTGTCATAAAGCATAGCTTTTGCCATTTCAACTACAGCTCTATTTTTCCTCTCTACCACTTCATTCTGTTGTGGAGTATAAGCCATAGAAAACTGTCTTTGAATCCCTGCATCTTCACACATTTTGTTGAATTCACAAGATGTGAATTCACCCCCTCTGTCACTTCTCAGACATTTTACTTTAAAGCCACTTTGCAACTCCACCATGGATTTGAATTTTCTAAAACAGATCAATGCATCTGACTTGTATTTCAGAAAATAAACCCACATCATTCTTGTACAGTCATCTACAAGAAGCATAAAATATTTGTTACCCGCAAGAGAGTCATTTTGCATAGGACCACAAAGATCTACATGCACCAGCTCTAGAGGTTTGCTTGCTCTCCATGCTTGATTCTTTGGAAACCATTCTCTATGCTGTTTCCCAAACTGACAGCCTTCACAAACTTCATCCACTTTTTCTAAAACTGGAAGACCATGCACCATTTCTTTGTTCTTAAGCTGTTGAAGACCTCTAAAATGCAGATGGCCTAGTCTTTTGTGCCATATCCAAGTAGACTTAGAAATACTTGTTCTTAGTACGACCTGATCATTTGGTATCAGTGTCAAAGGATAACACCTGTTGTTTTTCATTTCAACCTTGAGTACCAGACAATCCAAAGAATGACCATCAAAGATACTACACATCTTTCCTTCAAATACCAGGTAGTAACCATGTTCATCCATCTGACCCACACTTAACAAGTTTTCCTTCAAACCAGGTAAGTAAATTACTTCTTTGACATATTTTCTACCTTTGTTTGTGTCTATCACAAGTGTACCAAAACCTGCCACATTCATGAGTTCTCCTGTGGGCATTTGAACTTTGCCAACCATATTTGTCGTCATGTCTATCAACAACTTTGAATCCCTTATCATATGGTTGCTACAACCACTGTCAACATACCATTCTCCATTCACTTTTGATTCAGTGATTGTACTATTTGCATAAAACAGGTTCCCTGTCACCTCTACTTGATTAGCATTGTTTGCCTTTTGCACTGATTTGCCTATTGTGCACTCTCTAGCCCAGTGTCCAAACTTTTCACAGTTATAACATTTAGGTTTCCCTTTATACCTACATTGTCCAAAGTGAAACTTAGAGCATACCACTGTGGTTTTGTACCTATTTGACCCATTGACTGTGCATTATGTGCAGAATTAGCAGGAAATTTCTGCTGAAACTTGGGTTTTGAACCCCATTTCTTGCCCTTATTATTCCAATTCTTCTGGAACTGAGATGAACCAGATTGACCTTCGCCTCTATTTTGCTCTTTTGGACTCACTGAGAAAGATGAGAATGCTTTCCCAATAATATCAACAGTATGCAGATCAAACCGTTGTTCTTGACTCTTTAAGATTGCAACTACTTCCTGCAATTCTACAGTCTCTAGACACTTTGTATTTTCTATAACCAAACAGATAGAAACATAAGGTTTACTAAGACTAATCAGAACCTTCTGCACAAGTCTCTCATTCGACAGAGATTCATCAAATGTTCTCATCTGATTAATTAGTTCATTCAACCGTGTAAGATAAGCTAGATAAAGACTCATCATCTCGCATCCTAGCATATTCAAATTCTCTTCTAAGATTCTGCAATTTCACAGATCGTACCTGATCACCACCATGATATTTTCCGTACAACAAATCCCATGCCATCTTAGCTGACTCGGCATTGGTGATTCGTGGGAAGATTTGATCCAACACTGCATTCTGAATGATTCCCAAAGCCTTTGTGTCTTTCATCAAAACAGCTACCATTTCTTCATCATCCTTCGATGCTTCTCCAGCTTCCTTCTTCTTCGGATTGGAGGTTGTAATCCCCTTCTCTACCAGATTCCATAACCCAAGAGATTTGAATATTGTTGCCATTTTAATTCTCCAAAACTCGTAGTTCTCACTGGAGAAAATGGGAGTCCTCACTTCAGAGCCTCCAGATCTAGACATGTTTTTTATCTGAATCGACAACCTTCACGGAACTTCAAGAGAGCTTCAATTGAGCTCGATAACTTCATAAATTTACGCCCAGATTGTTAAATCCAACCTGGCTCTGAGGCCATGTTAGTGTAAATAAATTCACTCGATTAGGATCTAAAGAGAGAGCTGGACAGAAAAAACAACAATGAACAAATTGGAAGCTGAATGGTTTCTTTTCTCTCTTGCTAAAGTTGCAGAGGAATATTTTCTCTGTGTGTTAAAGAGAGCACGAAGCTCTTGCTTTTACATAACTGTTGGCCTTTAACTTGGGACCACACATACACTACATTTCATCTTAGTCACTCATCTACCTAATTAAATGGATCAACCAACACATGGCACTCATGGCCTTTTACAAAACAGAACTTTACACTTGGCATTATTTTGCACAAGTGGATACACCAATTTAAGAAATCTTATTCTAAACTTTTCAGCTCAACACTTATAATTCAACAATCGGTTCGGCAATACAAACATAATCACTGCCATTTTTCAGTTGTGATCTGAACCACTGCAGTGCCATAACAGTGGATACCGCCATGACAGCCCACGAAGCCTCCTCTTCATCCTCCTCCAAGTCAAACTTTGGAATTACGGCGTGTTCTTGAGCTTCCGAGGCGAAGACACGCGCAAGGGCTTCACAGGCCACCTCCACGCGGCATTCAAAGACGGGATACCAGGCTTATATGGATGAGGACGATCTAAAAAGAGGGGAAGAAATAAAAGACGAACTGTTCCGGGCAATCGAAGAGTCGCGGATCTCTATCATTGTCTTCTCAAAGAGGTATGCGGATTTGAGTTGGTGTCTTGACGAGCTGGTGAAGATCATGGAGTGCAGATCCAAACTGGGGCGACATGTTTTGCCAATATTCTATCATGTTGATCCTGTTGATCCTTCACATGTCAGGAAGCAGGACGGAGATTTAGCCGAAGCATTTCATAAGCACGAAGAGGGCATCGATGAAGAAAAAGATGGCAAGAAACGTGAAGCTAAACAAAAAAGGGTAGAGCAGTGGAGAGAGGCTCTTACAAAAGCTGCAAACTTGTCTGGCCACCACCTTCAAATCACTGACAATGGGTAACCATTCAACTGCTTTCCATGATTGAAACATTTTAGTGAATGAGTTAAATCTCTCATATAATTAACATGTTTAATTAACATTTTACAGAAGCTAAACATTAATTAGCATGCTTAATTAAGGGGTGTGTTATCCACACAACCCATTTTACTTCTCACACATCCCTTGATAATTTATGTCTGTTGATCTTCTTCAATTCATCCAATCTGACGGTCGAAAATTAAAAATGTGTGTGAGATTACATGTGTGAGAGACATTTTAAATTAGACGCACTACACGCTTTTTACGAATTTTATAACGTCAGATTCTCATTCAGTTGTTGTTTTAAATTTGGGCTTCCGTTTGGTTTGGCATCCTTTTCTCCAAAAGGTAACATTGTTTCTAATGCCGAATCAAATTTTGATTTCTTGGGTCATATTTATGTAGTTTTGTAAAGAGAAATTGTTTACAAGTGCAAACAACTGCCAGATTTTATTTTGAATTCTGAATATGCCAATAGAACCATATAATTATAATAGTTGGGACAGTTACCGTAAATCTTTTTGTGACGTTTTTTAATGGATGTATTATTCCATTGTTTTCAGGTGAGGGACAGAAGTCCCCGGCAGCAATCTCTTTGTGATCATTGCTGGGAAAATATCATGGTCATTTTGAGTTCGGATTCAGCTAGCATGTGGTAAGCGTTTCTTTTCCGATTACTTTCATTTGTTTATTTGTGAATCAATAACTTTTTTAGAAATAATGAATGTCACAATTGCTGATAAATTGATACTTTGTTCGGAGCTTGAATTTTAGATCTGTGCAAGCTATCCATATATGGATAAATGCTATGGACTCTTCTCAACCTATGGACCTCAAATTTTAGTCTTCCATCATTTATCCTACCCCACTATGTATGGAGTTATTACATTTGCAATCATATTAATTCCTTGAAAACAATATTTATATTTCTCTGTAAACTGCTAATTTTGGAATATACTATCATTTCCTTGCTGGTACATTAAAATGAAAATACGAAAAGTAGTCTCAATCTCGCCTGGGGGTGTTGTATGCCAATTCCATGCTACGAGGCACTTCATTTAGGGCTATCTGAGGAAGAGAGGTATTGGGTGTCTGAGACAAGGGGTTTCAGGTTAGGGAACCAAAACGTTCAGTTTCGTCTTGTTCATTGTACAATGTCTTTTTATGTCAGCTCAGTTGAGTGTATATAAAAACGAAGCTGCATATCTTACCGACCCCATTCACTTATCTATCACTCTCTTCATTTATGATTGTGTTGAATTTATTCAGGTAAAATGTATCTTATTCATGCAGTTCAAGGTGATGCATTCAAGTCTCGCAGCGACGCGCGGGCACATTTTCTAGTACGAGCAAAAAGCAATCTCGAAGACAGACAAGGAAGCTTTGATCTCATTAGCTACTGCATTAAACAGATGCATCAAACAAAAGCAATCTCGAAGACAGACAAGGAAGCTTTGATCTCATTAGCGTAAAATTACATGAAATGGGCCCAGTCTAAAACTTATAAGAGGCTAAGTTGTACATTTGTTGAATTCATCTAGCGAGGGCTATTTCTTTATCTTATCAAACAAATGATATACTTCTGCTTTCAGAAAGAGAGAATACAAATACATGGCAACGATCAAAGTTTAAGTTCCTCGCTACTAAAGCATACCTCATGGCTCAACCTAATAAATTTAACAACTACTCTCAGCTCTAAATCTTAAGAATAATCAGAAATCCAACAACTTCAATTCGCAACCTATGCAAAAACTTTCAGCTTTTCCCTCGAATTTTCCTCCATTTTCTCAGCAACCAAACACAACACTAACATACAAAGCAATGAAGTTTGAAACAGAAATCGAAACTCACATCGCGGCCTGTGTGGTGGGAGGAGGAGGAAGATGAGGAGGGTTTGGACTATGCATCTTCATCGCCGGAGTCGGCCACCGGAATGAGAAGCTCACAATCTCGCGGTACTCTGTCTCTGCTCGCTATTCCTTTGTATTTTTGGCATTTCAAATATTTTGTTTTATTTAAATAAATTTAATTATTATTTTAATTGGGCAAGGATTATTAAAGAATGAAAATAGTTAATCCTGTTTTTTCAATTATTTAAAAATATAATAATACAGTGGAGATTATTACGTGCATGTGTGGACTTCAAGGAAATGTGTTTTGTTGTACCGCTATTTAAATAAGGCGCCGATTAATTAACGCTTAATCTCTAACCGGTATCCTCAGTGGATCCTTTTAGTAAGGATCCTATTATTTATATTGTTAATTAGTTTCATGGGAAATAATCCAACTACTTATAAACATATGTAAAGTTCATCTTTCCATTAATGTGAGATTCATTTTCAATAGAGGCATGCAATTACCGAACATAAACTCAATTTGGTAGGTGGGGACAAAATCGTTATTCTAGTAAACTGATGTCCAAGAAACTATGGTTTTGTTTGGAGAAAACGGGGGTTAATCTAGCATGGACAAAATTCTGAAAAAAAATATGTAAAACCTCAACTTCTTCATGACCATGCGAGCCATGACGCTTCTCATCATACCCAGCACACAAATGAGTATTACTACAGATGAACCGAAATGGAAAAGGCAAAAACTACTTTGAAAACAAAACATTGCACTCTCACCCAGACCACCCTCAACGGCGTCATCAACCTCTTTCTCATCTCCCCAGCTCAACTAATCGGATTTTCCCTTTGAATGCATATTTCATAGTGTCCAGTAGCATCAGATGATTTGGTCCTCGTTTTACAAACAATTAATTTTTGACATTGACTAGTTGTTTTTGTTATTTGGAACATGAAAAGAAAACTTTGTTGGCTGATGAGGTTTCTCGTCATGTTGTTCAGCAGCAGTTGATTTGATCCTCTTGATTCGACATCGGCTAGCATTTTAACCACCATTTGGACTCGGTCTTTGTTGGAAATTTTGAGTAGATGTTTCATTGTCTCATATTGATTACCACCAAAAAGTTCTTGTCTTAGAAAGTTGGAGTGATGGACCATATAAAACAAAATTGAGCTCAACCTTAGAGATGAGCTTTGAGATGTGCTAATTAATTGATAATTAATATATACTTAATCTATAATTAATTATTAAAACATGGGCCGTAGGTTTGGGCTCATGCTCTAATAATTAAGTTTTTTAATTAATTATTTTGAACTAATTTCATATTTAATTTATTAAATAATTTTTATATCAATAGACTCATCTTTTCATATGAAATCTAAAGCGATGAAAGAATGTCAAGGGGCAAAGCACCCCTCTGAGAAGTTGTCTCCTAATAGACGCATTCCATACTCACACATGTTGCAAACAGGCATAAATATATTATATATACATCCATTTGCATGACATTTAGAATACAGAAAAATCAAACTCTTCTTCTACAATCCCAAACCTTCTTACTGAGAAAATCACAAAGAAATTCTCCAGAAGTCTAGTTTTCCGGTGCTGGAATCTCGACTTAGATCGTTGAATCAACAGACGTTTGTAGAACTACAAGCACATAGTAGGGACAAAATTCTGTTTCAAGGACATTACGGTATGCAAGCTTCGATCCTCAATTATTCTGTTTAATATTATTTCGTTGTATTCATACTCTGTTAAATTATTTGTTCGCATTTATTATTTATTAGCGTATATAAATTTATCATTGATTGTTGATATTTATCCAATAGTCTTAACTCTCTTTTTCACTTATTTTTTTAATTTAAAAAAAAAAACAAAAACGTGTCCCGTTTCAAATATTAGCATTGCCTCATGGTGCAAGGAAGCATGAAGATATGGTAGAGACGATGCTTTGATGCAGGCTAACTAGCTTTGATGAATTGAGGAAGGTAAATGTTAAGGGGACTCTTTAAAGTGAGACTTTCTATAAACTTTTTGTTATCTCACAGTTTAATTTTACTTTTTGTGCCAACATTATAAAATATTAGGTCAAAAAAATGAGGAGGCAGAGAATTCATAGAAAGTTTCACTTTTGTGAGTCTCATTAACATCTCTCATTGAGGAATTATGAAGTGTTGGTAGGAAGGATTGCTCAATCCCTTCAAAATTTTTTGTTAAGGGCCGAACTAATTACGATGTACCTTTAGTTTAAGTCAATCGGTTGTGGTCTTTGGTGATATTAACATAGGGACATGATATCCACACACCTCTTTTTATTTCTCACACATTCTTCTAATTTTCGGCCGTCGAATTGAAGAATATTAAAAGACAGAAATTAATAAAATATATATGAGAACTAATAAAAGATGAATGAATAGCACACCCTTAATGCAGATGGAGATGCAAAGGGGTCCTTCAAGACAAATTAGTGGTCATGGGAGTGGGCACATCAAGAGTATTATAAGGCACTAATTAATAAGTTATTCCGGAAGAATTAGACCCCAAAGGCAAGCAGAAAGCAAAAGGATGGTGGAATATCGGCGTTCTTGTCTATACATTTGACTTTGGCATTGCTCCATGACGAAAGGAAAAAGACATCCAATAAATTATAACAATAACTTCTTCGCAGTAATTACAACTATTCAACTAATTAATCAATAATGTATTATTTTATGTTGAAATTTGAAAGCATTTGAGATGTAGCATGTACAACAACTATATAAAATAAATAAAAAGTGATGTTAAGTAGATTAAATTTGTAAATTAAATTTGTAAACTAAATAATATGTCACCAATAAAAAATAAGTACGTCAATCAACAGTTAAATAATAATATAATCATTAATTTCCACATCATTTAGTTTATAAATTTTTATCTACAAATTTAGTCTTTTTAGCATTAATCATAAACAAAAGTGATCAAAAAAGAAAAAAAAAACTTAAATGTGAAAGGATTAAGGATAATTAAAAACCATTATTTAAATAATGGGTGCTTGTGTTTGATTTTTTCAGGAGTTTGACAAGATGAATGGGAGTGGGTGGTAAGGTTTGTTGGGCTCTAAATTCGGTTGTTTCTTCCCTCATTCGCCTGGGACTTTCATATATTTTCTCCGGAGACCATCAATTTCCTTTTCTTCATGGGTGTGTTATCCACACATCCCAAATTACTTCTCACACACCCCTTATTAATTTCTGTTTGTTGATCTTTTTCAATTCAACAGATCCAACGGCCGAAAATTAGAAAGGTATGTGAGAAGTAAAATAGGGTGCCCCTTTCTTCAAGGCGGCCTCTTCTTGAGAGAGAGGGAGGAGATTTCGCATAAATGGTAGTGAAGTAGTTGAAGAGTCCCTACCCCATCAATTAGAGGAGTTTTCGTATAAAATTACAAAGGAAAATTTTGTTTGAATTCATATTTTGTATCTCAACACCCTTCTTACTTTTTATATCCACATTGTATTTGATTTATCTATCATTATCTATTTACACCCAACATTATTTCTGAAATTGCTCTTACTTATCAAAACTCAACTCAATCAAACTTCTTTTATACACACAACTCAATCTATTTAAAAATAAAAAATAACCAGTCCATCATCTCCAAGGAGCAAATCCACTTCCCTCTCTCTTTAAAAAAATCCTTCAATCTCCCACGGTTGTCATTCTACACCCCCATCTACTCCTCTATAGTCATTCAAACCTCTTCCTCTTCCCTTTCTGCATCATTTGACATCTGTAAATTTCTAGAATACTAATTAGCTCAATAATCGGTATGAGCTCCTGGTTAGAGTGTTTAATGAGTTTGGTATGTTTCAATTAAATGAGAATCTCTTAGCCTCTATATTCATATTTGTGGTAGAAAAATAGGTACGTCCATGATAACTTTTGGTAGATCAATGAATATTTTTAACCGTGGATATTTATTAGATACAAAAGTTGCAGACAACAATTCACATTACATTGAACTATGGCTAAAAAGTATGTCGCCTTTGCTCGCCTTTGCATGTGTATAGGTGAACTCATAGCTAAGCAATTTTTATTGTGGAGCAAAACTTCGAGAATTGATTTAACAGGGATGTGTAATTGAGTTTATGCATTTTAATGATTAAATTGATAAATATTTCGATCATATATGGATTTAATATCGTAATATCTTTTAGCCTCTCTATGCCACAAAAGTTGCAGACAAAAATTCACATACATAGAAGTGTGGTTAAAAAGTATATCGCATTTGCATGTTTTATAGGTGAACTCATAGGTAAGCAATTTTATTGTTGACCAAAACTTCGGGAATTGATCTAACTTGAATGTATAATTGAGCTTATGCATTTTAATGATTAAATTCATAAAATCTCGACCACATATGAATTTAATATCGTATTGCCTTTTAGCCTCTATATTGGTATCTGTAGCAAAAAAATGGGTACCTCCATGAGAAAATTATGTAGATCGATGAATATTTTCAATCTGGATATTTATTAGATATCAGAAATTAGAAGTCTATACGCGAAAGTTTAAGTCAATGCCACGTACAATATTTGTTAAGATATATTTAGGCAACTGTTATTAGCACTCCAAAAATCTTATTCTACACTCTGCACAAGTGAGTGCCAAATGAGATTTTTAGAGTACTAATGACAATTTTCTATATTTATATACATTTTATTTTAGTTTGGAAGTCGACTTCCTCTTTTTTTTTTTTTTTCTTTCTTTATCAAGTTGGGAGTATCACTGACTGTGACCCTGTGCAAGTTATTGATTTGTTTTGAATAATCAACATTATTTCTTACAATGTCTTGGGTGTATGAATAACAGAAAGAAAACGGTCATGCTACAAGCTAATAGTAGTAATACTAACTAGTAAACAACTTGTGCATGATGTTTGCTTATAAATAAGTGGCATGAAAGGACAAATGTGTAGGTTTCATGCAGGACTCGGAATAGTATTGATGTTTGCTTATAACCAAGTGGCATGAAGGAACAAATGTGTATGTTTCATGCATGACTTGGAATAGTATTAGTCGTCGGGAGATTTTGCATCAATTTGTTTTTGTTTTTAATATGTATATATAAAGTTCTATTTTAATGGGATTTCTCACCACCCTAAGTTGTGATAATGCCTTTATTTATCGTTGTTATGTTTGCTTATAAATAAGTGGCATGAAAGGACAAATGTGTAGGTTTCATGCAGGACTTGGAATAGTATTGATGTTTGCTTATAAACAAGTGGCATGAAGGAACAAATGTGTATGTTTCATGCATGACTTGGAATAGTATTAGTCGTCGGGAGATTTTGCATCAATTTGTTTTTGTTTTTAATATGTATATATAAAGTTCTATTTTAATGGGATTTCTCACCACCCCTAAGTTGTGATAATGCCTTTATTTATATTTGTTATGTGAGTTTAATTAAATTTTGAGATTGTGTTTATCCACTACATACATTTCGATTTTTTTTTTTTATTTATATTTGTTATGTGAGTTTAATTAAATTTTGAGATTGTGTTTATCCACTACATACATTTCGATTTTTTTTTTTTTGAGTCGAGCGATAGTATTAGAAAGTTGGATGTTAGATTAGTCACCAACAGAATTCGAACTCATGCCGTCATGCAAGAGTACATCACTTTTTCACCACTATGGTAAAGGCCACTTGCCAACAAGTTGATTGACATGTGTGACTTTACTATTACTATTCCAAGTCATGCATGAAACATACGCATTTGTCCCTTCATGCCACTTGGTTATAAGCAAACATCATGTACAAGTTGTTTACTAATTAGTACTACTCTTATTCAGCTTGTAGCATGACCGTTTTCTTTTTGTTATTCATACGCCCAAGACATTGTAAGAAATAATGTTTGGTTATTCAAAACGAATCAACAACTAGTTACACAGGGTCACAGTCAGTGATACTCCCAACTTGATAAAGAAAGAAAAAAAAAAAGGAAGTCGACTTCCAAACTAAAATAAAATGTATATAAATATAGAAATTTTTTATTAGCACTCCAAAAATCTCATTTGGCACTCCAAACTTTTTATAATTAGAAAGAAATATACACTTGTGCAAAATGTAGAATGATATTTTTGGAGTGCTAATAATAGTTCCCTAAATATATCTTAACAAATATTGTGCATGGCATTGACTTAGACTTTCGCAAATAGACTTATAATTTCTGATATCTAATAAATATTCAGATTGAAAATATTCATCGATCTATAAAATTTTCTCATGGAGGTACCCATTTTTTTTGCCACAAATACCAATATAGAGGCTTAAAAGATACTACGATATTAAATTCATATGCGGTCGAGATATTTATGAATTTAATCATTAAAATGTATAAGTTCAATTATACATTCAAGTTAGATCAATTCCCGAAGTTTTGGTCAACAATAAAAACTGCTTACCTATGAGTTCACCTATAAAATGTGCAAAGGCGATATGTTGTTTTACCATAATTCTATGTATTGTGAATTTTTATCCCCAACTTTTGTGGCATATAGAGACTAAAAGATACTACGATATTAAATCCCTATGTGGTTGAAATATTTATCAGTTTAATGATTAAAATGTATAAACTCAATTACACATCCAAGTTAGATCAATTCCCGAAGTTTTGCTCCACAATAAAAACTGCTTAGCTATGAGTTCACCTTTAAAACGTGCAAAGGCGATGTACTTTTTAGCCACAATTCAATGTAATGTGAATTGTTGACCGCAACTTTTGTATCTAATAAATATCCACGGTTTCAAAAAAAAAAAAAAAAAAAAAGGTTAAAAATATTCATTGATCAACCAAAAGTTATCATGGACATACCCATTTTTCTACCACAAATAGGAATAGAAGATTCTCATTTAGTTGAAACATACCAAACTCATTAAACACTCTAACCAGAAGCTCGTTTAATTGAAAAGAAAAAGGAATCAATACATAAAAATTGAACCAATCGATTAAACACATACCAATTAAAAGCTAATTAGTGCTCTAGAAATTTAGAGATGTCAAATGATGAAGAAAAGGAAGAGGAAGAGGTTTGGATGACTACAAAGGAGTAGATAGGGGTGCAGAATGACAACCATGAGAGATGGAAGGATTTTTTAAAGAGAGAGAGAAGGGGCCTTGCTCCATGGCGATGATGGACTAGTTAGGGTTTTAATTTGTATTGTTAAGTAGATTGAGTTGGGGGTAAAAAGAAATTTGATTGAGTTGAATTTTGATAAGTAAGGGCAGTTTCGGAAATAACATTGGGGGTAAAGAGATAATGATAGATAAATCAAATAATCCATTTTGAATAGAAAAGGGATTATGAGGATGGACTCCAATAATGCATATAAGCACAGATTAAAAAATTATTAACAAAGTAAAAAAAAAAAAAAAAAAAAAAAAAAAGGATTATACGACGAGCATGTCTATGATGCTCCACTGTAAAAAAACTGAAACAGTGCGGTCAACAAAGAAGAAACCAAGGGCAGTTTCTCCCTAATTGATGAGATAGGGACTTCCCAACTAGTTCACCTAACATTTATGCGAAAACTCCTCTAATTGATGAGATAAGGACTCTTCAACTACTTCATTACCATTTATAATTGGAAAATTTTATTTGAACTCATATTTAAAATTTTATTTGAACTCATATTTTGTATCTAAATACTCAGCTTACTATTTATACCCATATTGTAGAGGAGTTTTCGCATAAATGTTAGGTGAACTAGCTGGGAAGTCCCTATCTCATCAATTAGGGAGAAACTGCCCTTGGTTTCTTCTTTGTTGACCGCACTGTTTCAGTTTTTTTACAGTGGAGCATCATAGACATGCTCGTCGTATAATCCTTTTTTTATTTTTTTTTTATTTTTTTTACACTTTGTTAATAATTTTTTAATCTGTGCTTATATGCATTATTGGAGTCCATCCTCATAATCCCTTTTCTATTCAAAATGGATGATTTTAAAACTTTTAATTTGTCATCTTTCTCTTGGTTTGGCTAATTCATTTAAGTGTTTTAGAGTTGTTAGAACTGCTTTTAGACAATATTTTCAAGCATTTGGGACGATGTTGGTATGAAAAATGATTAATGCTTTTAAAGGATAGAAGTGTTTTTAATGGATAGAATTTTACTAAAAATTTTGATGAGCTTCTAATGAAAGTGCTTATATACAAAAATCGCTTCTAAAGAACAAACAAACAGAGGTGGTTTCTAAAGTGCTTTTAGTAAAGCGCTTATCCGTTTTTGTAAAGTGCTTTTTCATTGTTTGAATGTACTTTTAAAATGATTGAAGATGCTTTTGGTGAAAATATTTTTGGAAACAATCCTTAGTAAAAATGCTAGTAAATCTACAAAAAGTACTTAAAGTGCTTTCAAGAAAAAGCGCATAACTAGTGCTTCCTATTATGTGTCGGTACACTTTTGTCTCCCTAGTGCCTAGACTGAAGGTGCTTTACTTTGAATAAGAATTAGTTTAATCATTGGTTAACATTTATTAATTTCAGATTTTACACAAATAATATGGTTTGCCTATTTATTATAAGGAAATGCTAAGGAGACTCGCTTAAAAATGAGAATCTCTATAGACTTTCTATCACCTCATGTTTTTTACACAATATTTGATAATTTTGACACGGAAATTGTGTTAAAAACATAAGGTGGTAGAGAATTCGTAGAGAGTCATTTTGAAGAGTCTTCTTAGCATTTCTTCATTATATAATAGTTAGATTATTAAATTTGGTTGAACTTTAGCATAATTGATATTTAAAGAGTAATATCGAAAATAAAAAAAATTTAAATTACGACATTGCAAAATAAAAAACAAAATAAAACATAGAGCGAAAAAATTTAAATGAGAATGTTACTAACATTGGTTCGGAATTAACATTAAGAGGAAATATAAGTTTCTACCCTCCTATTCTTGAAAAGCAAACATGATCCTTCTCTTCAACGTGAATAAAACATCTTTCAGAGTTTCCAAGAATTTTTTGGATAGTCTTTGTCCTTCCATGTTCCTTTCTTACATCTTTTCCTCTCTCTTTCCCTGTACCTTCTCGCCCAGCAGGATGTTGTTTCTCAAGTCACTATGTAAACATTATTATATAAACTTCTGTTTTTGTTGATTGAAGGATCTTGACTTGGGTTTTGGTATGTTTCAGTATCATCGGTTCGGCAACACAAACACAACCACTGTCATTTTTTCAGTCGTGATCTGAACCCACTGCAGCACCATAACGATGGATATCGCCATGACAGCCCACGGTGCCTCCTCTTCATCATCCTCCTCAAAACTCTGGAAGTACGACGTGTTCTTGAGCTTTAGAGGCGAAGACACACGCAAGGGCTTCACGGGCCATCTCCACAGAGCATTGGAAGAAAAGGGCTACAAGGCCTTTATTGATGAGGACGATCTGAAAAGAGGGGAAGAAATAAAGCCCGAACTGTTGCGAGCCATCGAAGAGTCAACGATCTCTATCATTGTCTTCTCAAAGAGGTACGCGGATTCGAGTTGGTGTCTCGACGAGCTGGTGAAGATCATGGAGTGCAGATCCAAACTGAAGCAACATGTTTTGCCAATATTCTATGATGTTGAAGCTTCAGACATCAGGAAGCAGGAAGGTAGTTTAGCCCCAATGTTTCAGAAGCACGAAGAGAACATCCGTAAAGAAAATGATGACAAAAAACGGGAAGCCAAGAGAGAAAGGGTAGAGCAGTGGAGAGAGGCTCTTACTGAAGCTGCAAACTTGTCTGGTTACGATCTTAAAAACACTGAGAACGGGTAACTACTTATTTTATTCTACTTTAATTATTTAACTGGAAAATTTAGAGACTGTATTCAATTGAGAATTTGAGAGACTTTAATAGATTTATAAATCTATGGATTTTTATGGAGTTTATTGATTCAATTCCCTTGAAATCTTATGGGAGAGGTGAGAGTTGTGGATTTTTAAGTATCCACAAATCTTACCCCTTCTCGTAAGATTTCAAAGAAATTCAATCAAAATTTTATATAAAATATCTACAAATCGGTTAAACTTTGTAAAATTTTATTAAAATCTCTCAAATCTCAATAGAATATGCTCGCATAGCTTTCCCCTGTAGAACTCCTTTTTCTTTACCTTTAGCCCATCATTTACATTTTTCCAGACTGCACGTCGTACTTGTGTCTCTTCCCCTCCACTTAACTCTAGAATTAATTGTAAAAAAAATAAATAAATAAACTCTAGAATTAACACTCACGAACACCCGACAACCACACCGAACTCTATCACATTATTGCCTTCCCCTTCACTTTCACTTTCACACGTTCATTTTCCTCTCTTTTCTCTTCATCCTTTCTATCTCTCTCCTCACACTCACTCCCTTCACCGTCGTCGTCAAAGCCCATGATTTCCGTCTTCAAATCGCGGCTAAGGGTCGAGATAAGTGGCTGCGATTGAAGGTCGATTTGCTGCCATATCTGCTCGGCATCGAATCCTTCGATCAAGACCTGATGTAACGGCGATTTGGGAGTGATTAGCGCTCGGGACTACTCGTTAATATTTTTTTGGTTGAAAAGGAGATGAAAAACGGAAGGGGGTTAGGGTTTGGGGTCTCTTAGTGAGAAAATCGCAGGGGTTTATTAATTTGGAAAACTAAAAATGATTTGAAACTTTGACTGTTAACTATAAAGATAAAATAAAAGGTATGGTGAATAGTATCATGTTTGACTTTTTAGTGTAAAAATATAATTTTTATTTAAAGTGAAAGGTATTGCGAACTTTTTGTTACAACGGACATGATTAGAAACAAGGTGTTAAATCAAAGTCAAACAATTTAATGCTTTAGTTATTTTAATGGGAATTGTTATTAGCACTTTAAAAAACTCATTATACATTCCAAACTTTTTATATTAGAAAAGAAAAATACACTTGTAAGGAGTGTAGAATAAGATTTTTGAAGTGTCAATAATACTCTTTTTAATTAGTTACTAGCCTATGGACATACAAAAAGTGTGTGAATTTTTTTTATTTTCGTTTTTAAAATAGAATGAGAAGGGAGAGAGGAAGAGAGTGATAGAGAATCTGGAAGTGGGAAGTTTTTTTTTTTTTTCTTCTTTTTAAAATTAGAAATATGTTAGAATTACATGTATGTGAGACTTTGAAAAAACAGCAAAATTTGGTTATGTAAAATTACATTTCTACCCATATTTCTTATTCATATTTTGTTGTAGTTAAAGGGTTAAACTGATAATTTCATATGATTTTGGTTGATAATTAATGTTTTATTAATTAGTAGAAATGTGTATATATATTTTAAATACGTATTAATCTACTAATAAAATATTATTTATTAACCAAAAGTTCATAAAAGTATTATTTTAATCCTCTCATTAAAATTGTACAAAAACAGAATACATGATCAATTTAGTAATTATATACAATACAAATTTTGCTATTTTTTTACACAAACATCACAGCCTAGTAAACATAACACACCCTACTTAAAAGTTAAAAAGTAGATGCAAGTAACCTTTTACTACAGTGGTGGAAAATAGTTGAGCTCTTACATAACATCTTGTCGGTGGTAAATCTAACACATAATCCAATAAAATCTATTATATGACCAAAAAAAAAAAAAGGTTAAAAATTAGATTAAAAAAGTTAAGTAGGTTTTTTTTAAGCTCACGTCTCCCACGTCAGCCCCTTCCCCTTCTTCCAAGTTCCAGCCCAATTTTATTTCCTTTTTTTTTTCATTTTTTTATAACAATTAATAGACAAGTTTAATTATGCATGTATAACGTGTGGGCGTATGACTAGTAATTTTTTTATTTTTTATTTTGAACAAATGATATTATCTACACTAAAGGGGAGAGGTAGACTTAGTCTTACAATGAGCTAGCAATAATGTTGTTCAAATTTGCTTTTGGTGAGAATCGAGCTTAAGATCTGTCCCTTACAAGTGAAGAAAAATACCACTAGAATGAAATACTAAGTGACGACTAGTAATTAACAATATTAACTTTAAAATTAAGTGAAATGACACATGTAAAAAAATAATAATAAAGAGACATGCAACTAGGGACATCAAACCCTTGGTCGTTGACTGGGCTTTAATTAGAAAAATTCATTAAATTTGCTTTATGACTTAGATTACATAATTTTGTAGTCCTAAAGCCCCTTATTATGTGATGATACATTTAGTTATGTTTGTTTATAAATTTGACTAATTAATGATTGTTTTAAATTTTGTAAGAATTAAAATTTTATATTAATTTAACGTGCATGGACATTAATAGGCGAAATTTTCAAACTAGATTTTCAAAGTTGCATGATAATAATTTATTTATTGATGTCAAGTAAATTGTTGTACATGATAATACTCTATAGGCCCGTTTTGTGAGTCGACGGGATAGGCTGTCAACCGTTAAAATGGACTCAAGTCCATTGTCGGCCGTTTGACGCGAATGATGAGCATTAGGGATGATGGGATTCCAATTGTGGTTACAAGTCCAGAAAAGGGCTGGTTTCATAACCTGTCCATTAACATGGGTTATGAGTCAAGGTGGGGTTGGTCGTCGCGAGCAGCAGCAGCAGAGCCGTGGAATCATCGGGAGCAGCGGCGTGGGGTCGTCGTAAGCACAAGCCCAACATTCCAGAAACGAACCTTCTCCGATGACTCTTCTACCACAGTCGATTACGATCACAGTTACTACGATCCCCTCTTTGATTGATCCCCTTCTGCTGCTTCAATCGTCTTCGCCCCCTCCCCTGTCCAGTAATTTTCTACTATCCTTTTTGTATTTTCTTTGATCTCAATTGCCTTGTTTTCGTTTCTGGAATGTTGGGTTTAGCGCGTGGGATCGACCTTTCTGTGTTTTCTTTGCACTTCTACTTTTCGATTCAATCCTAATCTAGATGAGATCATCTGCACCTAAGGATGACAACGGTTCGTTTTTGAGATGGAAATGTTATATCTATCCCTATAACCATTAAAATTAATCATATCCATATCCGTAAATCAACTATCGGGTATTATCTATAACCATACGCATCGGATAACAATTTTTCATCGGATAACGGTTATATCCATCTTCGTCAATACAAAAAATATATTTGTCTAATTGACACATGATAATTTAGTAAATATTATTTTCATCATTAAATATTTGATGTATAAAATGATTTAATGAATGGATCTTGTGAAGTATAAAATTAAAGGAAAACTAATGAAAAGAGCTTGAAAACTTTGAGTTTTAATGATAAAGACAAAATAAATGGTAAAATGAATAGTACCAGGATTGACTTTTTAGTGTAAAAATGTGGTTTTTCATTAAAGTGAATAATACCGTGAGCTTTTCGTTAAAACTTCCTAAAATTAAAGTTAAATATTGATAATGTTGGCTGATCTTTGATATCTTCCATAAGCACCATTGAATTTCATATATTTTGATTCATATCAAAACTTTTGAACTTTTGCACAAAATGTAACTCACACAATATAATTTTTGTATTCTTAAGATAATGGATTCGCTAAATAATGAATATATATATATATATATATAATAATTTAATATTATATATACTTATATTATATATTATTAGGTTTGGATTTGGATACGGATACGGATTGAAGATCTCTATAAGCATATCCAAAATCATAGCCAAATAATATTCACGGTTTTTCCCCATACCCAAAATACACCTGAATTTTTAATACCCAAATCCAATTTATTCAGATGGTTATCCACAATTATCGGGTTTAACGGTTAGAATTGACATCCTTATCCACGCCAAATAGTATATGAATAACCAAACCCATCCCATCCAACCCTAGCCTAACCACTCCACCAAACATGCCCTATAGGTAAATAACTTGCCTATACTATCTAGGTGAATATGCAATAAATATGTAAATTACTTTAAAAAAACAAAATGTACAATAAGCCCACAATGCCACAAATTAAAAAAAGTAAATTAGTGAATATGTAATCTAAATGGGAATTGTTATTAACACTCTAAAAGTCTCATTTGACACTCCATTTAGAAAGAAAAATGCACTTGTGAGAAGTATAGAAATTTTGTTTTTGAAGTGCTAATAATAGTTCTCAAATATATTAGTGAATATATATACTGCATAGTCTTGCCGATTAAATTAGTGAATATAAATTAGTAAATCAGTATAAATCTAGGTAAATTACGAGAAGCTCAATATGCATAGGTTAATGTACATAGTCTTGCAGATATAATTATTGAACACACAATACAATATTTAAAAACACGCAAAGAAAATAATTAGCTTTTATTGTCTAGATTGTGTAGGTTATCTAATGGCTTAAGAACACATTTGATAATAGGTGCTACTGGTGTAAGCTGTAAATAATTTGTAAAAATAGGTTATTTGGCGACATGACAACTTACGTAATAATAGGTCACTTATTTGTCCACAAAGAAAATCAGCTCCACTAGAAACGCATTTCATCTACATTTTGTTTTTATATGAACAATATATATTTCTTCTGATTAGTTGATTCTTGCAAATGGTAACTTACTACAAGTTTGCACCGTCATTTGTATTTTCTTACAAATTGTGTTTTCAGGCATGAAGCAAAGCTTATTCAAAAAATTATTTATGAAAATATATGGAAATGGCTCCCTAGCACAAACAAATTACATGTGGCCAAGCACCCAATTGGAATCAATTCTCGTGTTGAAGATATTATCACCTACCTGTCAAGTGGTGAATCGAAAGATGTTGTCATGGTTGGAATTTGGGGGATGGGTGGATTGGGTAAAACAACGGCTGCCAAAGCCATTTATAACCATATGCATCCTAAGTTTGAATCCAAGAGTTTCCTTGCCGACGTTAGCGACACTACAAGTAAACATGGCCTGGTTGATTTGCAAAAAAAACTTATTTCTGACATCTTGCAAATGAAGTTTGAAATAAGCTGTGTTGATGAAGGTATCGGTCTGATAAAACAACAGTTTCGACATAGAAAGGTACTTGTCATCTTGGACAACATAGATAAAGAGGAACAATTGGATGCAATAACTGGAAACCATGATTGTTTTGGCGCAGGAAGTAGAATTATCATAACGACACGAAATGAACGTCTACTAATAAATGTGGACAAAGTATATCCGGCTCAGAAATTGAATGAAGGAGAAGCTCTGGAGTTCTTTAGTTGGCATGCATTTCGAAATAGTCGGCCTAATGAAGGATATCTTCAACTCTCAGAAAAAGTTGTTTCTTACTGTGATGGTTTGCCACTAGCCCTTGAAGTTTTAGGTTCTTCTTTGTTTAAAAGAACCATAGCATGGTGGGAATGTCAATTGAAGAAATTGGAAAGAATTCCTGATGGAAAAATAATAAAACCGCTAAGAATGAGCTTTAACGGGCTAGATGATACGGAGAAGACTACATTCCTTAACATATTTTGTTTCTTTATTGGAGAGGACAAGGACCATGTCGCAAAATTATTAGATATATGTGGATTTTTTGCAACAGTAGGAATTAGTGTCCTCTGTGAACGATGCCTTGTAACTGTTGAAGACAAGATGTTGTGTATGCATGATTTGCTTAAAGAAATGGCCAAAGTAATCATTTCTGAGAAATCTCATGATCACCCTGGAAAATGGAGCAGGTTATGGAATCATGAAGATGTCATCGATGTATTGACATATAAATCTGTAAGTACATTCCCAATAAAATTTTGGATTTTTGCATCGTACAAGAAAAGCATGTCTATTATACTTTAAACAACATTCATGTGTAAATATATGCGGTTGCGCAAGGAAAGCTCAATTAGCCAACAATAGTACTTGCATATATATTCACTCTACGTGATTTTTCCTAATAAATAATAATACATGTAAACATATGCAATCCCTTTCTTACGCAGTATAACCTTTTGTTAACAGGGAACTGAAGAAGTTGAAGGACTTGCTCTACATTTGCCTTATGGTTATGACAATGCTAGTTTCAGTACAGAAGCATTTGCTAATATGAAGAAACTGAGGTTGCTCCGGCTCTACGACGTAGAGCTTAATGGAGAATACAAACATCTTCCCAAAGAGTTAATATGGTTGTGTTGGCGTTACTTCCCTTTGCAGTTCATACCAGATGACTTTTTTAATCAACCAAGACTAGTTGTTTTAGAGATGCAGTGGAGCAAACTGGTACAAGTTTGGGAGGGTTCCAAGGTACAATGAATTACACCTGATGATGTTGTGTTTCTATTTGTTTTTTGGATTTCTTCTCTTTTTTTATTTTTTTATTTTATAACATCTTCATTTCGGATATTAATTTCAATTTTCTTTTGATTTTCTGCAACAGTCGCTACATAACTTGAAAATCCTTAATCTCAGCTGGTCTCGTTCCTTACAGAAATCACCAAACTTTTCACAAGTCCCAAATCTTGAAGAGTTGATATTGGAAGGTTGTGAGAGTTTGTTCAAGATTCACCCCTCCATTGGTCATCTTGAAAGACTTTCTTTGGTGAACCTTAACGGTTGCTGTAAGCTTATTTCTCTTCCAAGGGATTTCTATAAATTGAAATTTGTTGAGACTCTTCTTCTTAATAGATGTTCCAAATTCAGAGAATTGCATGAGGATATAGGGGAAATGATATCACTGAGAACACTTGAAGCAGAGCATGCATCCATAAGAGAAGTACCACCTTCGATGCTAAGATTGAAGAATCTCACTCGTTTATCCCTTGACTACATCAGCTTAGGAGAATACAAACATCTTTCCAAAGAGTTAATATGGTTGCGTTGGGAAGGATGCCCTTTAAAGTCCATGCCAGATGACTTTTTTAATCAAAATAAACTAGTTGTTTTAGAGATGAAGTTTAGCGAACTGGTACAAGCTTGGGAGGGTTCCAAGGTATAATGAATTACACCTCATGATGTTTTATTTTTGTTTTTTGGATTTTTTTTTTTTTTTAAATTTTTTGTAACATCTTCATTTCCGATATTAATTTAAATTTTCTTTTGATTTTCTGCAACAGTTGCTACATAACTTGAAAACCCTTGATCTCAGCTATTCCATTTGCCTAATTAAATCACCGGACTTTTCACAAGTCCCAAATCTTGAGGAGTTGATATTGGAATGCTGTTTGAATTTGTCTGAGATTCACCCCTCCATTGGTTATCTTAAAAGACTTTCTTTGGTGAACCTTCACCAGTGTCGCAAACTTATTTCTCTTCCAGGGGATTTCTACAAGTCGAAATCTGTTGAGACTCTTCTTCTTAATAATTGTTATCAATTCAAAGAACTGCATGATGATATAGGGGAGATGATATCATTGAGAACACTTGAAGCATATAATACAGCCATAAGAGAAGTACCACCTTCCATAGTAGGATTGAAGAATCTGACTCGTTTATCCATAGTAGGATTGAAGTACGTAGAGCCTAATGGAGAATACAAACATCTTCCCAAGGAGTTAATATGGTTGCGTTGGTTTGGATGCCCTTTATTGTCCATACCAGATGACTTTTTTAATCAAGATAAACTAGTTGTTTTAGAGATGCAGCGGAGCTTTCTGGTACAAGTTTGGGAGGGTTCCAAGGTACAATGAATTACACCTGATGATGTTCTGTTTCTATTTGTTTTTTGGATTTCTTTCTCTTCTTTATTTTATAACATCTTCATTTTGGATATTAATTTCAATTTTCCTTTGATTTTCTGTAACAGTCACTACATAACCTGAAAACCCTTGATCTCAGCTATTCCTATTCCTTACAGAAATCACCGGACTTTTCACAAGTCCCAAATCTTGAAGAGTTGAAATTGGAATGGTGTTCTAGTTTGTCCGAGATTCACCCCTCCATTGGTCATCTTAAAAGACTTTCTTTGGTGAACCTTATAAGGTGTCACAATCTTTGTTCTCTTCCAAAGGATTTTTATAAGTCGAAATCTGTTGAGACTCTTCTTCTTAATAGGTGTTGGAAATTCAGAGAAGTGCATGAGGATATAGGGGAGATGATATCACTGAGAACACTTGAAGCAGAGCAAACAGACATAAGAGAAGTACCACCTTCCATAGTAAGATTGAAGAATCTCACTCGTTTATCCCTACAAGGTGTGCAACGTATTCATTTGCCACATTCGTTACACGGCTTAAACTCTTTAAGGGAATTAAATCTCTCACTATGCAAATTAGCTGATGATGAAATCCCTAAGGATCTTGGGAGTCTAATTTCTTTACAAGTTTTGGATCTTTCACGGAATGATTTTCATACCCTACCCAGTCTCAGTGGTCTTTCAAAGCTTGAAACTCTGCGGTTAAATAGATGCTTTAACCTTCGTACAATCCCTGATATACCACCAAATGTGAAAGTTCAGCATGAGTAATATCTTGAGGTCGATGCGTGCAATGTTATGTAGGCAGAGAAGATTGGGAGGAGCTACTATATGAAGATTATCTTTTCAAGCTTTTACTTTGGAGTTTGAGGATCTTTGGGGCTCTTGAAGCAGATACTACAGCCACAAGACAAGTACCACCTTCCATAGTAGGATTGAAGAATCTCACTTTTATCTCTGAGTACTGTGCCTAGTCATTCGCCCAAATTTCCTGATGATGCAATCCCTAAGGATCTTGGAGGGAATGATGTTCATACCCCACCCAGCCTCAGTGGCCTTTCAAAGCTTGGAGGGAATGGATGCATATATCTTCATACAATCCGTGATTTTCCAAGAAGTTTGAAATTTCTGTATTCCGTTGATTGCCCTGCATCGGAAACAATGCCCAATTTTCGGAAATGTCAAATATGAGAGAACTGGAAGCAAGTGATTCCCCCAAACTCACTGAGGCTCCACGCTTGGATAAGTTATTAAACCCCATGACATGGACTAATATGAAAAGGTTTACCAATCTCACAACTGATTTTGGCAAGGACATCAACAGGTATCTCTCTCCCCCCCTCTCCCCTAAGTTCTAGTTGCCTTCTTATTGTGCGCATGCAGATTCCTATGGTTTTCCCAAAATGTAGTTGTTTTGAATTTTGAAGATATGTTGCATTCAGAAACATTTCAATATTACAAGAACCGATATAAGATGCATCCAATGATTCGAGAAATAGCACTCGAATTCGCAGAAATACAAATACACCAACGTTTTCTTGTCAAATGCACGTTCTCATTTTACCAGTGCAACCATTCTTAATATTCAACTCTGGACATTACATAATCAAGTTCTTGTAATTCAAGAAGGCCATACCTCCACTCACTCTGAGATACAAAGGCATCTGTTTCTTCTTCCTTAAGGTTTTTGTCTGCAAGCCCAGCTTTGATTGGGGAAGCGTCACTTTTATAGTCCGTAATAATTCTCTTCTCACTTTCTTCACTCAACATTTTTGGTCTACATAAAGAACATTTCTACGTTTAGCTTCCTAAAGTTATATTTGTAAGGTGAAAAAAAAGCTGAAATTTTCTGAAACGATTTTGAGACAAGGAAGACTTACAACTGATTTAGTTACTTTAGGATCTTTGGCTGGATTTTCCTTCTATAAGTGATTTCTTTTCCGCTCAGTTGAGTTACATGCTACATTTCTGAGATGAGCGTTTCAAGATTGTGATTGTCACAGTAATTGGTTGCCAATACATTGACTTGAAACAGTCTTCTCACCTTCCTCAAACTGTTTCTTCAGCGCGGCCTGCAAAGGTCTCGAGGGGTACTCTTTGATTCCCATGAGCTTGGCAATCAGACTCGGCCCTTTCCCCGCCTTTTGCGAAGCAGCTGTTGTTGCTGCAATGGTGGAGTCACTGGTGGTATGAAACATAGAACTCTGGGTTGAGCTGGTGGAGGGAGTATCCAAGCACGAATCCATATATCGAAAATAGTTTACCCTTTTCGACAGATTCTGTATTTTCCACCAGTTTCTGCCTCACAAGGCTGTCTCTGATCACCTCCTTATGCTCTTGATTTCCATTCCTCGAAAACCATCATCAGAACGCCTCGGTTTTTCAAATTCCGTCACAGAATTGTGTTTTTTTGTTCAAGTGAGCCGTACTCTGAAGCTTCCTGTGCAACTTGCTAAGTATGACAAGAGAACCCTCACAATCAAGAGCTCCTTCCACGTAGTCTTTCGCAATGTCCTTTGACTGCTGCCCTTCTAACCTCATCTCTTTTGACCAGGAATCAATTGTGCGGTTTAGCTTCTGAGATCCTCTGGACACTTTGACAGATTTCGCTATATCTTCTCTGGTAAGTTCTTAATAACCGAAGTCACCTTTTGGATCTTATCAACCTTCTTGTCAATTGCCACCTTTCTATATGGTTTGAGATCTGCAGAATGAGAAGCTTTCAACTTTCTCAAAGCCTTTTCTTTCGTCTTGGCCTCTCTTTCTTCAGGTTTCTCTGCTGTCACTTTCCACTTTTTAGCTTTTTCTTCCTTGTCAAACCTTTTGCTTGGAATCTCTTCTGCATCCATTTTTCGGTGCATTTTTCAGACTTCAAAGCTCCTTCTTTTGCTGCCAAACTTTTTGGCGTCTTTTTGGTGTAGAAAGCTTCCTCTCCTCGAACCAATGGTGCATGAGGCTCCTCCTATTCCATAGATAAAAAAGGAGCTACTTTGTAAGCTTTTGGATTTCCTGCTTATGTGTGAGGCACAGGTTGACTTGGAGTGATTCCAAATTTAGTCACCTTCGCTGTGATGCCTGAATTTATCTAATTGCTCTATTGGGGTGATTTCCAATGCACCTTTGGTGTGATGCCAAAGGCTAGAGTGATTCCAGATCTCTCTTTTGTTCCCATCTCTTCTTATTGTTACATACTCTAGATAGGATATATGGTCACTCGTGCAACCAAAAACCTTTTTCTAAGAATAAGACAATTAAACATCCAAGTTGAAGAAAATCAAACCCTAGCTTCACTGAAGTCGGATAGAAACTGTCTTTACTGAAGTTGGATTATCGCACCAAAATTTGTCTCTAGCTAGGGTGAGATGAAGAGAGAAAATGGACTACATACTTAGCTCAGCAACGTCAAACCCCAAGACCAATGACTAATGCAAGTTAGAATATACCGATCCAATAATGGGGTTTAAGGTATGCATTTCAGAATACGACATAACAAAAATGTTGATTCCAAGTTGAGCATATATTGGAGAGAAGAAGCTATCCAAAAAGCTTTAACCACCACGTGATATAGAAAGTCGCTACTGGAAATAGGATAACACTGCAAAAGAACAAAGAGTGAATATGATCAAAAAGCAATCTTGAAGAAAGAGAACGAAGCTTTGATCTCATTAGCTACTAGATTAAACAAATGCATAAAAAAAAATCCACGCACACAACATGATTAGCGTAAATTTACATGAAATGGGCTCGGTCTAAAACTTATAAGAGGCTAAGTTGTGCATTTCTTGAATTCATCTAGCGAGAGGCTATTTCTCTATCTTATCCAACTATTCCTTTGCCTGTAACAAAACTCCTAGAGTTCAAACAAATGAGAGGAGAATAGAGAAAAATAGATTATAAATGCATGCCAACAATCTAAGTTTAAGTTCCTATCACTACTAAAGCATTCCATCTTTCAGCATACCTCATGGCTCAACCTAATAAATTTAACAACTACTCTCAGCTCTATATCTTAAGAATTATCAGAAATCCAACAACTTTAAAGATATTTGACCCTCCCCACAGCATAGGATTGAAGGTTGACACACACAGTATCGATATAGTATCGCATACGAACATGATTTGAACAAAATAGGAGCTAGAAGAAAGAAATGGCCATCATCCTATCATGAACTTCTTTGATGACCAACATCTAACAACTTTGGAAAACGTTGACGGAGAGATAAAAGAGACAAGAATGATTGTTATGAAGATTAAGAAAAAGGAGCACAAACATTCAAAAAGTATGAGAAAACTTATGCGGCATCAACTTAGGCCACCAAAAGCAACCAACTTTGACACACTCTAACCGGTTCTTGATAAATTACTGCTGACTTACGAGACAAATTTTTACGTGCGTACCAGTGGTATAATGCAACAGGAACACCTTTAAACTGACAAAAAGTAAAACGCAACTATGTCACTAAATTTCTTGTAGAAATGCTTAGATATACCCGAATCGATTGTTTGATCTTCTTATCACATTACTTGGAAGCTCGAGCAGAGAAATAGAGCTATACTCACCCAAATTTCAAACAAATAAGCGGAAAGTAATATCGAAAATCCAAATTAGCACATTACAAGTCCAAATGAACTGATGCAAAATTGACAAACAAACCAAGACCCAAATCTGAGTTTGCTCCTCCATTAGCCTCAGGAAACACTAATCAGACAATGTCAAACACAAAACTAGAAATTGAATCGCAAAAATCAACCCATAAATCACAATTAACACACACATACTAATTTCAATTCGCAACCTATGCAAAAACCTTCGGCTTTTCCCTCGAATTTTCCCCCATTTTCTCAGCAACCAAACACAACACAACACGCAAAGCAATGAAACCAAACAGCAATCGAAACTCACCTCGCGGCCGGTGCGGTAGGAGGAGGAGGAAGACGAGGAGCGTTTGGACGATGCATCTTCGTCGCCGGAGTCCGCCACCGGAATGAGAAGCTCACGATCGGGCTTCTCTGTCTCTGCTAGCCGGATTATTACGTGCATGAATGTTGTGTTTTGTTGTAACGCTAATTAAACAGGCGGCAATGAAATCTCTCATTGTCTCTCAAATTTTTGGCAATGAAATCTTGGAAAATTTGAAAAAATAACCAAAATTTGAAACCAGATAAAACTATAGCCATTCTTTTAAATTTATGATAATTATAACAAAAAATAATATGTAAATACTAATATACTCTTAAAATAGAAATTGAGAGATAAGGAGAGAGTTTGAAAACAAATCCAAAAAACCCAAATCAAATATGAGATTATCCCAATGTCTTACCAAGTTCTTTTTTTGGGTTCCAAAGAAAAAAATATACCGTGTGAACAAAAGGATTTTCTCGGTTTGATTTGTGTGTGATAAGAAAAATTTATTTATTGTTGTTCAAAAATGGTCTGGAAAGTTGTTGAATCCAGTCCCGAAGAGCATGGTCTGGGAAGCCATGAACACTCATGGCTAAGACCACTTGGAGAACATGTCGATATATATATTTACTGCCCCACACCACACACATTGATTCGTTTACATTTAGCAATTTTTGTTTTTTTACAAGTTTGGGGCATCTAGCAAGCATGAAAAAGAAGATCATTACCTATTAGCTGCTTCTTGTGCATTGCAAATTTTGTATCAGTTTTCATTTGGCATTTCTCTTCTGCATTATCTGATTTCGATATGTTTTCTGTCTATTAGCTGCTTTTTGTCCATTGCAAATTTTAATTCTTTTTTAATTTGCATTAATTTTTTAATTTTTTATATTTATATGGCCCATACTGATACATGACGCGCAATCATTGTCCATGTGGGCGCCACGTCACTAATTAACGGTTGACTTAATAGCAACCTTAACGGATTTATAAGACTATTCCAAAATTATGACTTTAGGTACCACTCTAGAATAAAAAAAACTTCATATACCAAATGTTGAAAACCAATAAATTTTAGGATAGTAAACTGAGATTAATCCTTAAATTTATATAATAAAATTCATCTGTATTAAAATATATAAATTGGTTTTATTTATTTATTAAAAGATGGCATAATGAGTGTTAAATGAAGGCAATGTTGGAATAATTAGAAACAAGTGAGAGCATAATTGGTAGAAGAAATCCATTCCAGATTCCTCAAGTGTCAAGGAATTAGAATACCTTCCTCATGTAGAGAGTCCAATTTCTTCAAAATTAGGAATTGAATTCCTTAATGTGTGTGGAATAATTAAACCCCAATTAATAAGAAAATTAAGAAGAAACAAAGTAGCCACTTACTAGCAAAGGCAAGGAGAAAGCATAAGGTGAAATATTGGATTGTGGAACCGGATTCTCTCTGAATTCAAAGGAACCGAGTCTAAGAATCAAATGATCTGGACTATTGAAATTTAATGTTTGTAACTGTTTGATCAAATTTTAATGGTCTAGATCATTTGATCCTTAAGTTCAGTTGGTTTTTATTGTGATGTGAGTGGAGTGCACGTAGGCGCTCTCAACCTCGACCACGTCCTCATAATCTCCCAGTACTTCTCCAGCGGCAGCCACAGGATCCAGCGGTCAGTGACAGTGGAGAGCAGATATCCAACTCAATGGACGATGATCCTCTTGCGGGACTTTGCAAATCCTTTGCATGTCTTTCTTTGTCTCCTGATCATCAATCCACTTTCTCAGGCCACATTCAGCCGGACGCCTGACTCCGTTGGCCTTTACCCTTTGGAGAGAGCGAAAGGCTAATCAATTAATCCCCTTCTCCTGACTTTCCTGAGACATTGAAGAGGACATGGGTTAATTAGTGTCTGACAAACATATGAAGTAAAATATGCATGATTTAGATCTATGATGAGGCAGGACCATGCCATGATGCATCTATGATAATCATCCCAGTAATCAAAAGAGAATTACTACAGATGACAGAAATGGAAAAAGGCAAAATTTTTGAAGTGAGAGCATCTTCTGTCTATATTAAGTCACACCCAGATAGATTCTATGGTGAGGCACGATCATGCTGGTGATGCATAGTCATCATCAGCTTATCCTCATCATCACATATCCGAGTTCATGGGCTACAGATCACTGCCAACTTCACCATCAGCAACTCAATATTTCATACTTCTTTCAGATTCTTATGATTTCCTGTTTGGTATTGGATTTGAGGCCGTAGTTTTTAACTCAAAAACAATTTTTTTTCACAGATTCATATATCGCGATGGAGATCGAGTGACCTGCGCCCCGCAGACCGCCTTCCGCCTCACCAACCACGAACGACCAAGAGATTCCGGCCAATAGGGTGAAGGTTCTGGCGAATAGCTTTAAGCCTCGAATCTCTGAGTGCTTGATTGGGGACGAGACTGGGCCGTTCTCTTCACTGCCAGGAACAATCAAGGTAATGGATCTTTCTCTTACCGTTTTGTTTGGTTTCTCGGAAAATGGAGAAAATGATGGGAAAGTTTGATTTATGTGTTTTATTTGTTGGGTTGTGAGAAATTGAGTTTATCTGTCTAATTGGTGTGATTTATTTGTGTACTGTGTATATATATTAACCTAACCGAGCTCGATCGAGCTCATAGCTTGGTAATTAATATCTTTTGTGGACCTTAATCACAATTTGTTAATCTGAAAACTCTTCTGTTTACGTCTTCTGATGTGCCCATGAGGATTGATTTGTGAATTGAATTTGTTGTGATGTGGGTTTTCTCTGAGACACATGGCACGTGTAACTCTGTGATGGGAAGTTCTTGGAATTAAGCCTAAAGAACAACTGGATCTGTCACTTTTATTTTGGAATTGGTTTGAGTTCGCTAGGTTCTTAGACATAGGCTTTTAGGTCCCTTGTGGCTGAATCACCTTCAATAACTTGGGAGTCCACTGAGAGTGGAACAAGACCAAAATTGTCGTGCATTAGACTTGTTATTCTTTTTTTTCTTCATCTGAGTTATGTACGCATATCCATCTGGTGCCATGATGCTAAACCGATGGCATTTTATGGATTGATTTGGTGTTTGAATTCAAATGTTTGAGTTCAAAAATGAATTTTTCATATTTTCTCTGTGAATGCTTTAATGATAGACTTGGTGTTTGAATTACGTTGTGTTTTTTAGCAGTGGTTCCAGTTTGGATTTAATAAGAGAAGTCTCGTTTTTATTTTGGTGTCGAAAATGTGCAATTTGGATTTGAACCCTTGAAATTCAACAAGGGTAGTGATTTTCACTTGTGTTCTCATGTACCCTTCATTTTTTTTTGGAACCCTTGATTTGCTTTGATTCTCCATTGATTCATCATGTTCAAAAGCTGGAAAGACAGGATGAGTGCAGTGGCAGAAGCACTTCCCATCTAACCGAACTTGATAAATTTCAATAGGAGCCTTTGTGAATATCCTGTTTTTATTCATTAGATCATTGGATTCTCTGCTACAAATAGCATCTACTTACCTACAAATAGTATGAAGGAAAGTACTAGTCTACACCGGTGTACAAATAACATCATGTTAAATAGACGATCTATGTGTTGGAAAGTAATTCTTCTGTTGATATGTCTGTATCTGCCCGCCTTGGGGAATTTTTGTTTCTGGTTACTGTGATGTTTTTCCCCTCTCTTTCTCACCATTTTCTTTTTGCTGGATTCTTTTCAAAATTTTCCAGGTAAATGAAATGCTAAGGCATGCTCTTTTGTCAACAGTTTCTGACCTTTTAAGCAACCTTTGTTGCTGTGGTATATTTATTTACTTGCTATATATATATTTTTTTTTCCCCTTTTGTTTGTGGTCTTTTTCCTTCTCAAATCCCTTTATTTGCTGCTGCTTTCTTTTTACCATTCTATTTTTTTTTTCTTTTTTTTTTTATCTAGTAGGGACTATCTCGGCCAGGAAAGCAATTGGGGTATGCCCATTTGATATTTGGAGAGAAGTTGCTTTGGAAATGTGGATGGATTGTGTTGTGTCAAAGAAAACAAATTATATTATAACTTGTCTTTGAACTGCTCTGTCTCTCCTTATTAATGGTTCACCTCTTTTTTGGACTTGGAGTGACTTAAAATAGTTGTGCAATGTAATTATTGAGGCCACCAACATGGCAGCCATATGCTGTCCTAATATTCAAGACAATTGAATGAAGTCTCATACCATCACCAAATTAACTGAGTCTCTGTTTTACACCAAATATATACGTTGTCAGTTATTGTTAAACTTTTGTCTTGTTCATGTGTAATTTTCTGTTGTTTTTGTGTTTTGTACACTCATACCTTAAATTTTAATATTATACTTTAGCATTAACATTCATAATTGAATGTAGCTTTTAGCTTTGTATTAGTTTTGATATTTCTGTTTACATTGTTCAAACAAGGACTTTGAAAATGACCTTGATGATAAAGCTAATTCAAAACCTATTAAAGACTACTTTATTAGTATGTTGTATGAAGAGACAAAAAAAGGCTTGCAAAGCAACACTTTAGAAAAGAATCAATGGGATACGATTGACATGAAGTTACTTGACAAATATGGTAAGAGATACACTCGTGAAAAATTGAAGCAAAAAATATAATTGGTTGAGGAAGATTCACCGTGAGTTTGCCAAGCTTGTTAATCATACTGGGATGGGTTGGGACCCTTTTGCAAACACTTTTCAAGCATCGAACGAAGTTTGGGCAGCTTATATTAAGGTATTTATTGTATTATATAATGTATTTTCTTTATATATATGCTTATTATAATATTTTCTAAGTGTGGTCAACCTATATTAAAATTTTACAAAAAAACAAGTTTGCTAGCTGTTTCCGTAGCAAAGGGTGTTCTCATTATGAGGTGCTTGGACAGATTTTCAATAATACCACTGCTACTGGTCAAATGCAGTTGCATCCACCAATTCTCCTCCAAATTCTGATTCTTAGAGAGAGTTAGAGGCTGGGTTTCTTACCACTGGTGCACACATTAGACAAAGTACCGGAAGTGGTTTAAGGGCTTTTAGTGAGGGACATGAAGGAACTAGCACCAAGCGTTGTGCTCTTTTCCCTCCAAGTGATCTTTCCTCAAAGTCAAAGTCATCCAAGTCAACCAAAATGGACAAAGCTATTGCAGCTTGGGCAAAGTCACTTGATGCCAAGACTGAGGCTACATTGGAAAAGGTTAAGCGTAAAAGAGAGAAGGAAGTATCCTTGAGAAAGTTAAGTACCATTGAAGATTGTATGGAAGTACTTGGGGGTTTGGAAGATGTTGATGATACCGCTTATTTGAAAGCTTTGGAGAAGTTCACTAGCTCGGATTGGAGGAGGATGTTATGGCTCAATAATCTAAAATGAATAGTTAGAGCCCTAGTAAGAAAGCTCAATAGTCCAAGTTGGTTGTTAGCAATGTTTTAAAAGGCTCGCCTCAGGGCGCGCCTAGGCACCCTGTGAGGTTGGGCTTGAGGGTTGCCGCCTCTGTTTTGAGGGAGTGGGCGGAAGGCGTCGCAGAAGCCGCCTAGGAGCGCCTAAGGGATTTTTTTTTTTTTTTCCTTACTCCCAAACCCAAATTTTGGGTAGGTTTTAACTGCCTCATACCTCTTCCTTGCACTAACGTCTCTTTGCCTTTTTTTCTGATTTTTATTTTTTATATAATGGATGTGTGTGCTATCTGTGTGCATTGTTATATGTGTGCTCATTGTGTTTTTCATCCTCTATTACATATATATATAATATAATATATATAATATATTATATATAAATATATTTATAATATATGTGTGCTCAAGGTGATTATTGATTAATAATCTTTTTTTTTTAATACAATATATGTGTACGCTTAGTGTATATATTAAAAAATTTAGGTCCCGTGAGGCTTCGCCTCATGCCTGACGCCTAGGGTGGGCTATCCCTCGGACCCCTTGCTCACGCCTCACACTTTTAATACATTGGTTGTTAGTTAGTGTGTTGGTAATATGATGAATTTGCTTAGAATTTATGATAAGGGTTAGTAAGATGACTATGTATATGCTTTTATGTTTCGTATTGAGATCTTTTGTTGTATGATGAACTATTTATAATTAAATGAGTATGGAAATGACTAGTGTTGGTAATATGATTAATGTTAATGTTATTATCATATAGTATTGTCTTGTCACTTTGTTTAGCTATTAATTACTTGATAGTTGTAGAATATAAATATATGTTTGCCTATATAGGATGGATTCAAATGAAGTGGACAACAATGGTTCAAGTTCAGAAAATGATTCATCATTTGATTTGGATTATTCACTTGGAGAGTTGCTTATAGTTACAAGATTATATGACCATTACTCACGTTTAAATAAAGAGCCATGCATGACTTCACATTTTTCAGGCCGCCGCCAATATCTCATAGAATTATTGAATGGACATCCACATAAGTTATTTGATATTGTAAGGATGGATAAAAACACGTTCAGGAATTTGTGCTCGACATTGAGAGAATTGAACTTTCGACAAGATGATAGATCAGTTTGTGTGGAGGAGGCCGTTTGCATGGTCTTGTTTACTATCAATCATACAATCCGCAGTAGGGTTATTGTTGAAACTTTTCAACATTCGAAGGAGAGTGTGTCAAGACAATTTAAACAAGTTCTCAAAGCAATATGTCGACGGTACTCGTATAATTCAACCTCCAAATATGGATGCGACACCTTCTGAGTTTTTGGGAAATCTGAAGTACAACCCATGGTTTTAGGTAATATATTTATAAAGTACATTTTATTATTTAGTTAGATTATGACTATTATTTTTCTACAAAACCTAGAAAGATACATGTTTAAAGCTCTAGAATAACAACTTAGGTTGAAGTAAACTATATTTTGTGTACTAACAACTGTAGTAATTCACCATCCTTTGATGTGTAGGACTTCTGGGGTTCTATAAAGAAGAATGACTACTTTTCTTTAGAAGGTTTGTTGGATGTATTCAAGCAGGTACTGCAGTCTCGGTATTCACTTGCAAAAACCTTAACCCTTGAACATTTGTACAGATTCTAACCCTTTTTGTTTGTAAAACCTCTGCAGCTGTGGATTTACAAAACTCCAGATTTGGAAACACCCAAATATGATATTCTAAAAAGAACTGCAAACTATGAGGTGTGTTTGCTTTTCCTCGTACGAGTTATGTTGTATTTGTAAAAACTTAAAGCCACGTTCGTTGCCTAAAATTGAATTACCATGCATGTCTTGATTCCACAGGTAAGAAAGTATGCACCTTATGTAGTGGTAGAGGGATCAGTAGACAAGCTGTCCGGGTCAGCTGGTTTTGGTGATGTTTCTGGATGAGGCGTTATCCTTAGTTAATCATGTTTTTCTTTTCTTGTGCTTCTTCACTTAGGATGATTTGGATGATGGAATCTGTTTAGGTACATCTTTGGAAAGAACTCGAAAATGGAGAAGATACCGATGACTACTCCAGTCTTCACTGAGGCATCTGATGCCGGACTTTCCAAATTCCGTTACGTACAGGAACTTTACCTTCCAAACAGACCTGCCGATCAAAAAGTAGGACAAACAAAAGATGTTCAGTTAACTCAAAATGCGACCTTTATCTATTCACCTTTTTCCCTGAATCACTTAAGAAGGTGGAACTAGAGAGACACGTAAAACTTCTTATGAAATTCATATTGAGTTTCATGAAAATGTACTTGTATCCAGTGCATAATGGTGTGAGGACAAGAAAAATTAACGAGAAATACAGAGAGGTGTGATTTACCTGGAGGACTTTGGGGCCGAGGAGGTGAGAGGACCTTAGGAGCGTATGCGGGTCGGGCATGGACCTGGCGGAGATGGATTTAAAGTTCATGTTGGTGAGCTCGGCTTCCATTGAGTTCACTACCGTACGCGTGTCGTCGGAAAAGGCGGGATGGATCAGGATCTTCTCCTCCACTTGTTCGAGGTTGCCGAAGCACCATCATCTGATTCTTAGGGTTTCGATTGCGGCGTCGGAAGAGGCGCCGGAACTCCCCTCCATATTTTTGGTGCCAGTTTGCCGCGTAGTTTGATTTTGGGGGTTTTCCGAATTTTGCAGCAGAAAAGGCATATGTACGGTACAGTCCCAGACTCCCTAATAGGTCATGAAACGGCGTCGTAGGTGGCTTCTTTTTTTTTTTGTTTTTTGGTCAAACGAATGTCTTAGGGGGGTATTGGTTCCTCTTTTGTGAGAATGAGGGCCAATAGACCAAAATTAACGTCTATTAGTAGTTTTCTTTATTTATAAATGGGAGGTTTTGCCATTTATTACTGCGGTCTAGTAGTATTTATCTTCATTAATAAGTGAAAGGTTTTAGGTTCGATTTTCGCTAAAAGCCCACCGCACCCTCTCCTCTTAATGTAGATAATATCGATTGTTCAAAAAAAAAAAAAAAAAAAAAAAAGGTTTTAAGTTTGAATCTCATAAATCAGGGGCATTTCTGTTGTCACTATTTATGAACAGTGTCAGACTCAACTGAGTTTTAGTATATATAATATAATATCTGAGTTCTTCGGCATTGCTCCATCCACTTTTTCCTTGCCCTGCCCGTCATGCGCCAAAACTATATCACTTGAACCCCACTTTCTCTACTGCAATATTTCTACATGAAGATTGATCTGGTTCTACCTTTCTACTTCCAGTGTTGAATATGATCAACTGCCTGTAGTTACTTTAAGAACTTCTTGCAAGTATTAACTATCAAACGGGGGTCTCTCCCTTTCTCTTTGGAAGTATTTTCAAGGTAGAAAATTCTATGTATTTCTTATATTAGAGATCCGGAGGCGACTAGTGTATATGAAAATTGAAATGATGTTTATCGTATGATTACATAAGTAATAGTTTAACTACTTATTAAAATTGACAAAATTTCAGTGTTCATCAAATAACATGGTTTGTCTATTACTATACGTTTCGGATTTGGTTGAATTTTAGTATACTTCATGTTTAAAGAGTGACCTTAAAAATAAAAAGTTTAAATCATGGTTACAATATTGCGGTATGAGAAACAAAATAAAAAAGGTAGAGGGAGAAAATTTAAATGTGAAAGTTGCTAGCATGTGTTCCTCAGAGGAAAGCTGATAATTAATTGTTTTTACCATAATATTAAAAAGCAAATATAGAATTTTCTGTAGAGTAAATTGTAGTTATGGTTCCTTAACATTAACTTAATTAGAGCAATGATCCCTTAACTAACAATTCATTACCAATGGTCCTTCACCTTTAATTCAACTAGAGAATGATCCCTTAATTTTAATCCAATTGTAGCAATTGTCCTTCCAACATAATCGTTTTGATAAAATTTTGATGTAATTGACGAAAATGACCATAATTAGACACTTTAATGAGTTGAGGGACCATAATTATATAAATGGCTATTCCAACATAACTTATTTTGATAAAATTTTGATGAAATTGATGAAAATGAATATAACTACACATTTTAATAAGTTGAGGGACCAATGGTAATAGATTTTTAGTTGAGAAATCATTACTCTAATTTGATTAAAGTTGTGAAACCATTGCTATAATTTACTCTTTTCTTTAATGTGGATCTTTTGCAGAACTTGAATCTAGCCGTCCAGTGATCAGATGCGACAGAAAGAGTATTTCACTAATCAAAACAATTTCAAGTCAATAATTGAATCAGAGGTCAAGTCACCAAAGAGGGATCCAGATAGCATTTTTGTCCATTTCATCTCATTTTAATGGACGTGGATGACTTTAGCTTTTGTTAACTGAAGCAGCTTGATTTGGGTTTAGGTATTTCAGTATCGTCGGTTCGGCAGCACAAACACAACCACTGCCATTTTTCATGATCTGAACCACTGCAGTGCCATAACAGTGGATACCGCCATGACAGCCCACGAAGCCTCCTCTTCATCCTCCTCCAAGTCAAAACTTTGGAATTACGATGTGTTCTTGAGCTTCCGAGGCGAAGACGCGCAAGGGCTTCACAGGCCACCTACACGCGGCATTCAATGACGGGATACCAGGCTTATATGGATGAGGACGATCTAAAGAGAGGGGAAGAAATAAAAGAGGAACTGTTCCGGGCAATCGAAGAGTCGCGGATCTCTATCATTGTCTTCTCAAAGAGTTATGCGGATTCGAGTTGGTGTCTTGACGAGCTAGTGAAGATCATGGAGTGCAGATCCAAACTGGGGCGACATGTTTTGCCAATATTTTATCATGTTGATCCTTCGCATGTCAGGAAGCAGGACGGAGATTTAGCCGAAGCATTTCAGAAGCACGAAGAGGGCATTGGTGAAGAAAAAGATGGCAAGAAACGTGAAGCTAAACAAAAAAAGGTAGAGCAGTGGAGAGAGGCTCTTACAAAAGCTGCAAACTTGTCTGGCCACCACCTTCAAATCACTGACAATGGGTAACCATTCAACTGCTTTCCAAGATTGAAACATTTTAGTGAATGGGTTAAATCTCTCATATAATTAACATGCTTAATTAACATTTTACAGAAGCTTAACATTAATTAGCATGCTTAATTAAGGGGTGTGCTATCTACACACCCATTTTACTTCTCACACACATTTTGATAATTTATGTCCGTTGATCTTCTTCAATTCATCCGATCTGAAGGCCGAAAATTAAAATTGTGTGTGAAAAGTAAAATGGGTGTGTGGATATCACACCCTTAATTAATACACCTTAATTTCTCATATAAAACCAAACCGTAATTGGAGTTTAATTAATGAATGACTTTCGTTCTTTTATTCAAGTTGGTCACAAAATCACATACTAGTTAGTAGCTAGTTAGTGTGTGTGTGTGTAGAGAGAGAGAGACACACACACACACACATAAAGGACAGAAGGAAAGAAAATTGCTTATGTACTGCTGAGCATTCATTGATTCCCACTAATGCTTACGAATTCAATTTTCAGGTGCGAAGCAAATCTTATTAGTGAAATTGTTGACAATATTATTACGAAATGGCTTCTGAGCACAAACAAACTAAGTGTGGCCAAGCACCCGGTTGGTATCAATTCTCGCATTCATGATATTATCAATCATCTTTCAAGTGGTGGATCAAATGTTCTCATGGTTGGAATTTGGGGTATGGGTGGATTGGGTAAAACAACAACTGCCAAAGCCATTTATAACCAAATTCATCATATGTTCCATTTCAAAAGTTTCCTTTCCGACATTAGCAACAATGCAAGTAAACATGGTCTAGTTTATTTGCAAGAAAAACTTATTTCTAACATCTTGAAGAAGGAGTCTAAAATAAGCAGTGTTCATGAAGGTATCAGTCTAATAAAAGATCAATTTTCACATAGAAGGGTACTTATCATCATGGACAACATAGATGAAGGGGAGCAACTGAATGCATTTTCTTCTCTTTTTATTTTTTATTTTTTTTTTTTTTAACATCTTCATTTCGGATATTAATTTCAATTTTCTTTTGATTTTCTGCAACGGTCGCTACATAACTTGAAAACCCTTGATCTCAGCATATCCTGGGAATTAGAGAAATCACTGAACTTTTCACAAGTCCCAAATCTTGAAGAGTTGATATTGGAAGGTTGTTGGATGTTGACCGAGATTCACCCCTCCATTGGTCATCTTAAAAGACTTTCTTTGGTGAACCTTTAAAGTTGTTCCAATCTTCGTTCTCTTCCAAGGGATTTCTATAAATTGAAATCTGTTGAGACCCTTCTTCTTGATGGATGTTCAGAATTCATAGAACTGCATGAGGATATAGGGGAGATGATATCACTAAGAACACTTGAAGCGAAGTATACATCCATAAGAGAAATACCACTTTCCATAGTAGGATTGAAGAATCTCACTCGTTTATCCCTTGGCCGCTTCAGCTGCGTAGAGCTTAGTGGAGAATACAAACATCTTCCCAAAGAGTTAATACGGTTGCGTTGGTTTGGATGCCCTTTAAAGTCCTTACCAGATGACTTTTTTAATCAAGATAAACTAGTTGTTTTAGAGATGCACCAAAGCAAACTGGTACAAGTTTGGGAGGGTTCCAAGGTACAATGAATTACACCTGATGATGTTCTATTTCTATGTGTTTTTTGGATTTCTTCTCTCTTTATTATTTTTTTTTATTATTTTTTATAACATCTTCATTTCGGATATTAATTTCAATTTTCTTTTGATTTTCTGCAACAGTCGCTTCATAACTTGAAAACCCTTGATCTCAGCCATTCCTGGTCCTTACAAAAATCACCGGACTTTTCACAAGTCCCAAATCTTGAAGAGTTGATATTGGAATGCTGTTATAATTTGTCCGAGATTCACCCCTCCATTGGTCATCTTAAAAGACTTTCTTTGGTGAACCTTAAAAAATGTGATAAGCTTATTTCTCTTCCAAAGGATTTCTATAAGTCAAAATCTGTTGAGACTCTTCTTCTTAACGACTGTCGAAAATTCAGAGAAGTGCATGAGGATATAGGGCAAATGATATCACTCAGAACACTTGAAGCAAGGCGTACACCCATAAGAGAAGTACCACCTTCCATAGTAGAATTGAAGAATCTCACTCGTTTATCCCTATCATTTGTTCCAAGAATTCATTTGCCCTATTCGTTACACGGCTTAAACTCTTTAAGGGAATTAAATCTCTCATGATGCAAATTAGGTGATGATGCAATCCCTAAGGATCTTGGGAGTCTAATTTCTTTACAAGTTTTGGATCTTTCATGGAATGATTTTCATACCCTACCCAGTCTCAGTGGTCTTTCAAAACTTGAAACTCTGCGGTTAGATGGATGCCTTAATCTTCGTACAATCCCTGATATACCACCAAATGTGAAAGTTCAGCATGAGAAAATCCTGAGGTTGATGCGTGCAATGTTTTGTAGGCAGAGAAGATTGGGAGGAGCTACTATATGAAGACTATCTTTTCAAGCCTTTACTTTGGAGTTTGAGGTTCTTTGGGGCTCTTGAAGCAGATTCTACAGCCATAAGACAAGTACCACCTTCCATAGTAGGATTCAAGAATCTCACTTTTATCTCTGAGTACTGTGCCTAGTCATTTGCCCAAATTACCTGATGATGCAATCCCTAAGGATCTGGAGGGAATGATGTTCATACCCTACCCAGCCTCAGTGGCCTTTCAAAGCTTGGAGGGAATGGATGCATATATCTTCACACAATCTGTGATTTACCCAGAAGTTTGAAATTTCTGTATGCCGTTGATTGCCCTGCATTGGAAACAATGCCCAAATTTTCGGAAATGTCAAATATGAGAGAACTGGAAGCAAGTGATTCTCCCAAACTCACTTGAGGCTCCACGCTTGGATAAGTTGTTAAACCCAATGACATGGACTGATATGAAAAGGTTTACCAATCTCACAGCTGATTTTGGCAAGAACATCATATAGGTATCTCTCAACCCCCTCACTCTCTCTCCCTAAGTTCTAATTGCCTTGCTATTGTGCGCATGCAGATTCCTATGGTTTTTCCAAAACGTAGTTGTTTTGAATTTTGAAGATATATTGCATTCAGAAACATTTCAATATTACAAGAACCGATATAAGATGCATCCAATGATTCAAGAAATAGCACTCGAATTCGCAGAAATACAAATGCAGCAACGTTTTCTTGTCAAATGCACGTTATCATTTTACGAGTGCAACCATACTTAATATTCAACACTGGACATTACATAATCAAGTTCTAGTAATTCAAGAAGGCCATACCTCCACTCACTACGAGATACAAGGGCATCTGTTTCTTCTTCCTTAGGGTTTTCAGTCCGCAAGACCAGCTTTGATTGGGGAAGCGTCACTTTTATAGTCCGTAATAATTCTCTTCTCACTTTC